CAACCAAATCACTAAATACTCACTTGCATCTGCCTCTCCATATATTAATAGCTACTCAAGCCTCTCAAATAAATTAAGGATATCTTCCACCAATGTTCTACGCCCACACTTCCTATCCTAAGGTTATCCCTAGTTTATTATTCTTACCTCTCTCTATAAGAAACCTCGCCACATCTACCTCCCACTGTCGAGATGCCTCATGCATGATTGTCTGTCCATGTCGATCTGTCGTGTTGATATCCGCCCCTGTCTTGATCAGTGTGTCAACAAACTCCAAATCTATCACTTCATTCTCATTTATATTTGCAGACAGCTTAGAAAAGTAAAGTATAAGTGCTCTGCTCGATGAGTTTATTGAGCGTCCGGCTTGTCTTTGTCCATCGCTTTTCTTTCCTCCTCTTTCTCTTCTTTTCCCAACGATAGTCTCATCTACAAGCTCTTCTAAATCACTCAATTGCGCCGCGTTCATTCGGTGGTAGTTCAATTTATTTGGTATTCCCAGTTTAGACATCCCTCCTCGAGCTCTTTGCGAACCTAATGGCTGGTTTCCTTTATTTGGCATTGTTTTTTCATCGAGTGCTTTTAGTTTCCATCGCGTGAATCCGAGCTTAACACGGCCAGCAGCTTCAAACGATGATATTCCTCTAGCTTTTCGGCTATGGCTACTTCTATGTCTTGGTCTTAGTGGTATGCCATTCGCTTCGACGCCGGGCGTCTTTTCAAATTCATCATCGCCTTCAGATTCGTGGTTTTTCCTTGAAGCTGGCACATGAACGGGTGCTATTTTATTCTTGTGAATTCTACCGTTCGGTATCATCTTTAAATCTGAATAATGCGATTCGTTGAACTCAGCATTTATGAGGCTGGTTTACTGAATTATCTAGAATCCTTCGAAGCTTTTATCTCCTAGTGTGTTTAAAGTGCGACCACAAACGGTAATTTTCAGGGCAAGAATTCTCCACGGCCAGTTTAGGCCATGGTATCTGAGAAGTCTTTCAATAATCTTTTTATAATTCCAACCATACCGACGTTCATATAGAACACAGTACATAGTTTACACCGCAACCAAGTAACCATGCTGATAAACACAAGCAGAAAGTCTTACAATAGGGATTGAGAGATAGGAACTATAGAGCAAGGTGATTGGTCAGCTAAGAAACCCAACTGGGGTTTTGTAGAGATGGTTTTCAAAAATATTACTTCATTAAATTTTGGGGACGCGATTTAAATACACCGAAGTAGGCTGTCATACGATGACATGAAAACATTTTGGTTTATTTTAAATTTTCATTATTATTCTTTTGTCGAGTTTTTTTTAAAAGCCGGAATTTATTGAAAGATCACTTGGCTTAACTTGAACTTAAGATAATTTTTATGTCCATTTATTATAAAAAAACATACGTTTACACTGCCACAATGATGCGTTTTTATATGATGATGAATGATATTGAAATATTTCTTTTTGTATATGTAAATGAAAAATAAACTTTCTAACAGGTGTTTTACAATAACTTACAAATGTCTCGCGTGCTGATTGGTTATTTTTTATTATCAATGAGAGGACAGACAGATAAAGCTGACGTTAACGAGCGCGCGCTCTTTTCGTTGGTTACGTTGTTTTGATCGCTAAAAATGAGAAGTTTCTATCGTTTTTGTTATTGTAAAAAACAAAAAGACATCAGTTTTTTATTGTGTGTCTGTCCTCTTATTGACAATAAATTTCGTCATCACATTGTCAAAGTAGTATGCGGATCCACTCGGCTACGCCTCGTACACTACTTTGACAATGTGATGACGCAATTCCTCATCAATAATAGGACAGACACATAAAAAACTGATGTCTATATTTGTTAATTTTATTTGATCAAGTGCGTTTATGGAGGTTTATGACCCCGCGGTTATTACTGGTCATTAAAGGAAACAGTTTGTATAGCGCATGCGTACGCTAACTCACATGGTGTTTTCAAGATGGCGGACGAAGAAGAGCAGTTCTCCTCATTTTCTGATATGGGTCTTGATGACCGTATTACAAGGGTATGCAAATTTTTCTTGCTTTTTTGGGAATATTAGATGTTGATCTTGATTTATGGTTAATTTTTTCACGTGTTTTTAGGCAATATCGAGGTTAAACTGGTCAAAACCAACACCGATCCAGGTATCAACTTTATCTATAGCTTATCTGTAAACTTATTTGATTTTTCATAAAATATCCTAAAAATTGTAGAAGGAATTGGTATACAAGATTATGAATGAGGTCAAGAGCAGTGATCGACTTTAGGTGCTGTAAAACAGCTGATTTTCCAATGTTTATCCCTGAATTTCAACAAGTTACGTCGGACATGAAAGACCTAAGACTTATCAACATACTGTAGTCAAGCTTGCTGTAATCTTGAATTCTGATCGTTCGCCATAGGAAAAAGGTATAACGCTTGCTCTTGAAGGAAAAGACATTTTAGCGAGGGCCAAGACTGGTTCAGGCAAGACTGCAGCGTAAGTAAATATTGCTTGGAGAATGACAATTGTTAGTGCATGAGTAGAACTGTTTTATCCGTTACACACACAGGTATGCTGTACCAATAATACAAAAGATTCTTCAAGATAAACAGGTAAGTATTGCAAAATAAGAATCAGTCAAACTTCATATCTTACAGCTAATATATGCTGGAATAGTTTGGCTAGACTTCTGGTATGTTTAATCTGAGCTTTTCATTTTTATTGCAGAATAATAATGAGTTAGCAATAAGAGCTTTGGTATTAGTTCCAACAAAAGAACTTTCCCAGCAAGCATCCAGAAATCTCAAGGTGAGAGTTAAATGAAACATTTGCAATCAATTCAAAATTGTCTCTTCCTAACCCTCTTGGTGAAGATTAAAATTCAGATAATTCTATAGGATGCATTTGAAATAAGAATAACAAACAAAATTAGAAAATATTGATAACTTCAATGTTAAAATATGTGTATGTGTGAGGAAGTTATGATATTGAATATCAAATATGATATGGCTTAATCTTGCTCACTATAAATTATTGAAGTTTATTTCTGTGATTCTTAGGAATTGTCTTGTTATTGTTCACGTGAAATCAGAGTTGCAGATGTAGCTCAAGGAAACCTGGCTAATACCAAGTAATTATATTCTTGCAATTAAGATGATATTACATTTACTTCAGTGTTGTTGCATGACTAATAAATTTGGCATAAAATTCTTTTTCCAGACCTCTACTGATGAACATACCTGACATAGTAATTGGTACACCTAGTGGTATTCTGGGGCACTTACAAGCAAAGGTAACTTGAAAACTCCCAAGAGATGTTTCCGGCACTTATGTTTTAAACACATGTTACTTTTCATGATTACCTAGCTAAGAAAATGCTTGTTGGAGTTTGTTAGTTCTGTCTCTTGATTTGAGCATTTTTTTCCATTTTCTCCATTTTTCCTCCTTCCACAAAGCTAAATTCCAACATGATCTGTGAGTTAGCCCCTGACTTTGATCAGCCCAAAGGTTGTTTCAGGGCATTGATTTAAGATTTGAAGGCTGAAGTGATCACAAAATCGTACATACTGGTAATCTTTTAATTAATAGTTCTTGATCTTTTGCAATATTTAATGTTTATAGAATCTAACTTTGAAAAACAGTCTTCAAATGTTGGTTGTTGATGAAGCAGACCTGGTGTTTTCATATGGCTATGAGAATGATTTAAAGCTGTTATTGAGGTAAATAACTGTGAAAGGTTGGTGAAAATGTTGTCGCATGTTGCATACTAAGCCCAAAAAGCACTATGGGTGATGTGAACCCAATCAGCAAAAAGTCAGTGACAATGGAATATGGAATTTTACTGAACTGTGTATTCAAGTTTCTTCTAGTATCTTTTCGTCTTTGCTTGAATGTGATTAATGTTCAATACATTTCTAGTCTCCTATGCAGCCACTATCAGTGTCGTCATGCCACATTTACTCCCCTAAGTAGCCATGTCAAGCTTGGTATGCTGCACGCAACAAAACCTTCACCATTTTTTTTAAATAGCTGTATCGCTTAAGGTCCAAACTGAAATGCAAGCTTTTTTTTGAATACAGAGTTACTGAGTCTGAAGAATATTTCAATGAACATTTGATATCTCTAACTAAAATATTTTGATGCTTCAGTCATTTGCCAAAGATTTATCAAGCCTTTTTGATGTCAGCTACTTTAACCGATGTAAGTAAACTAGTACAAACAGAATAAATTTTAATACATCAATATGTAAAGATTGTATCAGTTTTTATAATTATTGCAGTTAGAAACAAAAACTGTTACTTTCTTACATGATGTAAGTAAACTAGTTAACACTGATGACATGTTTCTTCTAATATTAAACTATTATATTATTATTATTCTAGGATGTCAAATCCCTTAAGAAAATGGTTTTACATAATCCTGTACGTATGAATCTATTTATTATCAAGCGTATTGATCATTATAATATTGCGTTGTAGTTTTTAACAGTAATTTATATTTTTATTCAGGTGACTTTGAAATTAAATGAATCTCAGCTCCCTGAAAAAGATAGACTTATGCAATACCTCATAAGGTATGCATTGCTATACATAATACATTTTACATTTATTTTTTGAAGAATAATTTTTTTAAGTGTGACCAGGATACGAATCTATTGATTTATTTTTATATTAAATAATTCTTAGCCATAGAACATCTAGCAATAAATAAAATAATTTTTAATGAATTATCTAGCAATAAATAAAATATTAATGAATTATTTGTAATGAATTATTGGATTTCCTATTCAGATGTGAACCTGACGACAAGTTTCTTTTAATCTACACTTTACTTAAATTAAAGTAAGAGGTTTTGGTTTTTGATGTCTATTTATCATTATCCATTTATTCTTTCAATTTCTCTTAATTATTTTCGTTGTTTGCGTGTCACTCACTCACTGTTCATTCAATTTTTTAACTTACTCTTTCTTTTTATTCACTCTTGTTATTTTATACTTCATCCCATAACTTTATTTTTTCATTTATTCACTTATTTTATATTTTTTTATTCATTCACTCATTTATATTTATTCATCTTTTCATTCAATAACCATAGTCATTTTTTCTCATTACTTAACCATCTGTGGTTTTCAGCTTAGTTCAAGGCAAGACACTGCTGTTTGTCAATGGGATTGACAGATGTTACAGGTAGATTATCTACTGCACCATATATTGAGCTCAAATTTGACAAACATTTGATTTTGTTGAAGATACATGTACCAAATTTACACCCTTTCCCAAACTTTTGTTTATTTTCAAAGGCTAAAACTATTCCTTGAGCAGTTTTCCATCAAATCATGTGTACTGAATTCAGAACTTCCACATAATTCAAGGTTAGTTACACTTGTAATGATAATTTGAATGTGATATGAAACTTCTTTTCTTTAAAAAATGCACTTCATTTACTTACTATATATATATATATATATATAATATTTTTGCAGATTACATATCGTAGATGAGTTCAACCGTGGTGTATATGACTATATTATAGCATCTGATGAGACAGTGTTTGAAACAGTAGGCACATTACGTATCCTTAAAATTGAAATATTCTTTATACTTAGTTATCACAAAGCATGTTAGGGCACATCTTTAGGATGTGTATAGTATTAATGTAAAAATAAAAACAACAATGAAATATACCATTTAGTGGAGGYGGCGCAGTGGGCCAAATCCACAGCAGCACCTGAGAATGGTTTGAGCATTTTTAGTTTAGAATTCCTTGACAAATCTAACAATAATAGATCCAACAAAAAAGAGCAAAAAGTAAGTACTTTTTTGCAATTAACTTTTTAAATTGCAATTATTTGTTGTGCATATTGTGCCCAAATTTTAATTTTAAATGAAATGATTTATTTCCATCAGAAGCAAGAAGGACAAGGAGTATGGTGTGTCTAGGGGGATTGACTTCCAAGGTATATTACACTAGATACATTTGATTATTAATTATATGTCTTTTCAATTGGAATTGTTTGATCATTCATTCCGGTTAGCTCAGTTGGTAAGAGCGTTGGTCTGTTGTGCGGGAGGTCGTGGTTCAAGCCTCGGCCGGACCAACACTCAGAGTCTTAAAATAACTGAGGAGAAGGTGCTGCCTTTGTAATTACATCTGCAAATGGTTAGACCTTCACGTGGCTCGGATGATCAAGTTAATGGCGGTCCTGTCCCTAATTAACTAGAGACGTTAACAGAGGACCACAAGTTTATCAGTTGAATTACTATCAAGTGTTATCCTCTATAAACAAAGTTAATTAATTTTTTWATTTATTTATTCATCAACACATCTCAATAGATCTCTTTACCCAAAGTATGAGTTTTATTAGTTTAGTGTTTGTGTAATTTTATGGTCAAGAACTTGGTCTAATTGAATGAGGAATGTTTTGTGGTTTACAGGTGTTGAGAATGTAATAAACTTTGACTTTCCTACAACAGTGGATGCTTACATTCATAGGGTTGGCAGGTAAAGTTTTTTATGCTTTTACTAAAAAATAAATTTCTGTTTTAGAAAATTATTTTTCATTTTCCCCTCATAAGTTTTTTTATACTATCTTTAATGTTTGATAATTTTCATTTTTTTAGGACTGCTCGAGGTGATAATTCTGGTACAGCTTTGTCGTTTACTACATATCATGATAATACAGTTGTAAAAAAGGCAGAGGAACAGTTGGCTAAAGAACTTGGTAAGTATTTTGGAAAAATATTAATGGTAAAATGGTACTTTTCATTAGTAACTAGATTTAATGCAAGGGGTATTAAGATAAGGGTACCCCCATTTAAAACCCGTGACTTAACAACAGCATGAAATCTAACACCCTTGGTATCCATGGCACTCTTAACTGCTTGAAGAAATTGTAAATCCCCAAAATATGAAATCTTCAGAACATGAAAGTCTCGAAGTTAGTTATCCCTTAGAATCTGCCACTTTTACAACAGCAGCTGTTTTAATTTTACAGGTGAAGAAAGTGAAGTTTTTAAACCTTATCAATTTAAAATGGAAGAAATTGAAGGATTTAGATACAGAGCAAAGGTTAGCAATCCTCCTTACCACTTACTACATTGCAGCAAGATAATTGGATTTGAGTGCGGAAAAACCCTTAATTTTTGAGAACTAAACCAGTCACAGTGTTAAAAATTGTTTTCTTTCAGTGAAACTAATTTTTAATTTTGGTTTTAGGATGCACTTCGAGCAGTTACAAAATCAGCCGGTGAGTAACTACTAAGCCTCACTTGAAATGAAAAATAGTTTGTACTGATTTAGACTTGAAACTACATTTGAATTATCCTTGAATTTTTAGTCAAAGAAGCAAGATTAAAAGAAATCAAGAGAGAAATCATCAATTCAGAGAAATTAAAGGTGGGTGTCTAAAAAAAACCTAGTTTTTCAAACTAAACATTTAAAATGTTCTTTATCACATGATATCTATCTTGATTTTATACTTCATACTTTTGGAATAGTTTATATCAATGATGTATGAATAAAGTGAGTGCATGAGTAAGGGAAATGCATTAGTTGGTGAATTGGGTTATTGATTGACTGAACCATTGATTGAGTCATTGACTGAGTAATTCATTAATTGTTATCAGGCATATTTTGAAGACAACCCAAGGGATCTACAGGTGTTACGGCATGACAAAGAACTCCACCCAGCTAGAGTACAAGCCCACATGAAAAATGTTCCAGATTACTTAGGTAAATGTTTTAAGGAAATATTTGTTGTATGTGAAGAAATGTATAAAACCCAAATAATTCTTCATTTCATTTTTGAGAGAGAAAGTTTGAAAAATATCAGGAAGTACTCATCAAAGCATTTTGTTTTTACTAGTTCCTGCAACATTAAAACCCACTATGGCTAAAAGGAAAAGAAAGAACAAACACATACCATTCAAAAGTGGCTCCGCTAATAAGGTAAGAACTAGAGGTATATGAGAGAGCATTACATGAACACCCTGTATCCTATTATCTTTTCAAAAAGATGGAAAACTGTTTATATTTACATGTATTTTCATTTCAGACAATCTAAGGTTACTGGTAACTATTTTTTGAATAGTAAATACTTGAATTGTGTTCTATTTTTCCAGAAAGCAAAATCAGATCCACTCAAAACATTCAAATATACTAAAGACAGGCAAGATAAAAAGGTAAAATGTTGTATTGTTACTCTATTCGTATATTATTGAAGATCTTTGGCAGCCTCAAAAAATGTTTAAAACCCTGTTGCATGCAATAATGTAGTAAATAACATTCAAGGTTGAGAGACAGATAGGTTTCATAGCTCCTTTGGGGAAATCTGTTTGGGATTAACTGTACAGTTTATTGTGAAGTGTGATAGTCCGGGAGAGTATTCTTGAGAAAGGCTGTTGGTGGTGGTGACTGACATTTCGACAACCTGAGCAGAAGTCATCTGAAGATGAAGATGACTTGCACTCAGCAGTCTTTCACCAACAGTCTTTGTCAAGACTACACTCACCTGGACGATCAAACTTCATAACAAACTTCTACACCTGGGTTCAAACCATTTACTCTTAACTGTACAGTGTTTGTATATTTTAGGTGTAGTACCAGTACCTTAAAAAAATTACTGATTTTCCCATCAGGGTCACAGAAAGAAAGGAAAAAGCAAATAAAGAAATTCCTCATCTTGAGATGATATGACTGGTCGATAATAATTTTTGTTGCAAGAAAAGGACAGAAGATGCCTCTAATACATTGTATACAATTTTTCTATCAATGGAATAAAGATTTATTAAACAAAAATTTCCTAATAATCTTTTTTACTTGTCAAGATTTACTCACAAAGCACATCTAATATTATCTTTTTGACTTTGAATTTCCTGAATAAAGCACTCATTTGCCCTGAATATTAAGTTAAAATTCCACTATACCTTACTCAGTCTTCTTAGCTATACATCTGACTGTTCTTTCTGTTTTGACTGATCATCTGTAATCTACTTCACCAATGAAAGCACAGCCTGGACCATCTTTCCAATTCCATCATGAATCTCATGAATCTTGGTTTCACACATGAATGCTGGTGTAGTTACAACTTTGTTTTTCTTGTCAACATGGACTTCCTGACAAATGTTAAGGAAACCTTTTATATCACTTACAATACTTTCTTAATAGGAGGGATGGTTTTGAGTCACTAAGGCTGTGTTTACAGGATACCAGACGAATTTTTAACTGGTCAACAAGTTGTACAATTAAGGTTCTGTTCACATGGGGCTTGAACTAACCAAACAAAAATCCTAGTACACCTAGCCATGCAAATTGGATACAGCTCCATGTAAACAGAAGGTATCTTTTATACAATAGACCCATTTCGAATTCCAAATTACCGCTGTGTTTCTTGATTACAGACTCATTTACACAGGGTTAGCCTCGAGTTTGTGCAGAATATTCACATGTTCCAGTCAAGGCCCGTCGAGTTTCAAAGTGTATTGTTGAAGTTGTGCATTCTTTACTTTACCGTCGGTATTTGTGAATATTTAAACACTGATAAGAGGCTAACCCTGTGCAAATGAGTCTGTAATCAAGGAACACAGCAGTAATTTGGAATTCAAAATGGGTCTATTAAAGAGATGGTTCTGTGTAAGTAAAAAATTTGTTCGGTACACAGTTTTTGGGAATGCTATATGAGTGTAATAGGCCATTTTCATAATGGTATCACATTGTCTTGTTATTACTTTTGCCACGTCATGAGAATACAACAGTAAGGCAGTTGTTCAAGGGATTCTGTAATGGTTAGTAAATTATTTACTATTGATACATTGATGCTTAAGTAGCATTTTCACAGTTATTAAAAAAAGATATTGTAAAGCCTTGTGGGATCAATATTCAGACAAATTTAGTAAACAAAGGCTTCTTTTAGATGGAAAAGAAGATTAATATTACTTAAAAAGCCATAGAAACCAAGTCCAAAACCATATGCAAAGGATACATCAACATTCTTGTTCACATGTACAGCATTCATCTTCTGGATGGCCTCAGCTGTACCAGCATAGGGCCATTTACCAGTTCCATCATCCTTGTCTTGTCCCACTGTCACTTCACAACCTTGAATCACCTTCAATAGAAAATATTAACAATGTTTAAGAACTTGTGTGAAATGTCAGACAATCCTGCATATATATTACAATATTTTAAAATCTGCTCTATACTTTAATCTTTATTCACCTTTGCAGCTAATACTGGTGCTATACAACACAGACTGAAAATAAAATAAGACATTGAATTAAGAAATGCTGATATTTGGTCATATTCAAAATTTGAAAACTACAAACTGTGCTATGGGGAGGGGAGGGGGGAATTTATTGTCCCCATCAATAGAGCAGCCATGTGAAAAAGGTCCATAGCAATTTTATTAGTTTATTAAAGTGTGCACTCACCCAATTGGTTTTTGTTTTGCATGAAATTCTTTGATCACATTAGCAACCTGTTCATTCACTTTGCAGTCAGCTCCTTCTGTTGCAAATGTGGACCTTATTGATACAAACAGATGAAGACATTGAGTTTATAAAATGGTATTTTCTTTTTGTCTTTTCTTTATGGGCTTTCTGCGGTGGATGGTGGACCAAATTTTTGCTCAAATTAGTTTAGACACAGGTAGCCCACTAATAGGAATTTATATCCAATAGGGAGTTACAGAAGARATAAGAGACACCTGTTGAGGAGATGTTTTGAGATTATTAAATTATGTTTCCTTACAAGTTTTTTGCAGCACCAAAGCCTCCAGGGAAAAAGACTGCATCATAGCTTGATGCATCCAACTTGTCCAAAGCAGTGATTTTCCCTCTTGCAATTCTAGCTGATTCACTCAGTACATTCCTTTTAGAAATGAAACATGAATAAAGCAATATTAAGACATGATATCATGACACAGCATAAGGATACACATAAATATGGATACTACTCAAACAAAGAATCTTATTCTCAAGAGAATGACATGTGGTCTGAAATGGGAAAACACTACACTGAAAGTAAATTATAAATTAAAGTTACCTGCTTTCTTGATCAGCAACCTCTCCTTTTGCATGATTTATCACATGCATTTGAGGGATGTCTGGTGCATAGATGCTGTACTCTGTACCAGCACGACTAAGGTTCACAAGAATACTGAAAATACCACAATTCATTTAGGGACCCATTGTTTGTTATGTCCCAGGAGGGGGGGGGCAGTGGAAATACCAGGGGGGGTACGTTTTTGAAAACTAGTAAAAATTGGGGGTACATTTTTGTAATGGCCGAATTTGGGGGGGGGGGAGGTTTACGTATTTAGTAGTGTTGAGGGGGGAGGGGTACATTTTTCATAATGATTTTAGAAGGGGGTACAAATTTCATTTCATTTTTTCCAAAGAAACCACCCTCCCCCCCTCCTGGGAAGTAATAAACGATCGGTCCCTTAGTACATATCACATGTTTATGTCAAGGGTATTAGGATGTACGTACGCTGATGCTTCGTGAACTTCAGAGCCATCAAACACTCCACTACCAGACAGAACCTGGAAAGATATTCAATACCATATAAATGCTGATATTTATTGCCCCTACATTCATCAATTTTGTCTTTTGCTTAAATATTCTATAAATTATGCGAAAGATAAGAAAATGAGAAAGCTGACGTATAAGCTAAAGCTTGCACTTTCTTGGGAAGCATGTGCAGCACAAGCTGCAATAAAAACTAATAAAAAGCTCTTTCTTCAATTCGGCATAGGTATCAAAAAGATAATACTTACCACAGCAACTGATGCTCTAGATTGCATGGTAGTGCTAAAAGCTCTTTTAACTCCACTGTGTAGAAAAACCCTTACCAAAGACAGCATTATCTGTACAACTTGTGTACAAAAGTGTTCTATACCACAGGAAGCCCAATATATCTATTATATTTGCGGTCAGCGGCAAGCATGCGTGAGAATTACAGAGTGCGCATATATTTGGAAATACACCCGCTGGTCTATTTATAGAAAAAATTGAGCCGATTGACAAACGTCGAAARAACATATTTGATGTTGATAATTTTATTGTCCTTTATTTTTTCTTAGAAACTTAATTAAAGTTAATTTTAGTAGGGCTTTATTCAAAATAGCTATGCCTAGAAGCCGGAGCAGAAGTCGTTCTCCAAAAAGAGGTAAAAATTGAAGGCAAATGTCTTGCTTTTTTGGTTACATTTGCCATGCTGGTTATGGGGGTTATCGAAGATAAACAAGTAATAAACCCAAAACACTTGTATTTTGGATGCGTTTGTTTTTCCTAAAGTACCATAAGCTTCATTTTTCGTTTTTTTCTTCCTAAAGATGTTAGACGTGGTGCAAGAAGTAGATCAAGATCAAGAGAAAGAAGAAGAAATAAAGGTACTCCATGAAATTAACCTTACAATATAAATATTAAGCTTATCTGAATTGTTCTTGATTTAGGGATTGCTATACCTTAGTAAATTTGATACATTTGCCGGCTGTTTGATTTTTAATAGATAGAAGACGCAGTAGATCACGTTCTCCACGAAGAAACAGACACAGGTCAATCTCAAGGTATAAATCAGTTTTGATTTTTATTAAACATTGATATTTCCTCAAGTCTGGCATTATGATCATTTCATACTGATAACGACACTAAAGATCTGGGATGTTTATATTTTTTGAATAATTTTGTTGTTGGATTTCCTTAGGTCCCCATCACCAAGAAGATACAGAAGGTACAATTACCGACAATATGTCTTGATTAAGTACAAACTTAGTACCAAATCATGATTGTGTGTCAATATGATGAGTGAAAATATGTTAGAATGCTAAATATACTTCTTTTAATGTCGTAGATCTCAGTCCCCAAGGCGAAGACTGTCACGGTAAATGGACTAAATTGCTGTATAATAAATGTTCTAAATGGACTAAATTACTGTATAACAAATGTTCCAAATAGGATTTGACCCTGCCATGTAATGTAAAATGTAAAACCATCTTTACTCAAACTGTATACTAATATACATCAAATCCAAATTTGGCAACCAATTTGTATATGTAATAGGACTCCATCTTAATTGGACGAGGAAAATTCCAAGGACTTACAAAATTGGATGAGGTCATAGGCTGAGTCCAATTTGTCAGTCAGAGGAATTTTTCGAGTCTAATTATTTCTTGATTGGGGAGCATGAAATCCCATTACCTGTTAATTATATAGCTGCCCAATTAATCCCATATCAACAAGACCTGTCCAATTAAGAAAATCATTGGACAGTTACCTATATGGGATTAATGAGAAGCGGTATAATTAGAATAACTATTGTCTGGACTGACTCTCATACATGTAAAAACATTTTTATGTTTGTGTTTGAACAGGAGGCTAGATAGTCCTGAACAATAGTTATTCAAATTGGTCACCATATTTTGATTTGGTGTAAAACTCAAATATAACAGTTTTTAAAGTTTAATACTAAAGAAAACCATAATGTTAATACTTAATGGTTAGGTCCAACTCACCAAGAAGATCCAGAAGATCAAGATCAAGGTAAACGGAATACTATACTGTTATGACAGTTCTAATGGCATTTGACCTTGCTATTATTGTTTTGTATGTTTAACCATTATAAATAGTAATTGTATTCTTTTGTATTAGATCACCATACAAAAAAGGTCCTCATCGAGATAGTAAATCAGATGATGGGAAAAATGAAATAGATGGTAATGTATAACAGTAGTAGAAACAGTAGACCTCCTCAGCTCTGGCGTAATGTTTTCACATTTTCACACCATCATTCCCTTGAGAATAAGATTCTTTGTTTGAGTGGTAACAATTTTCTTCTCATGTGCAACCGAGTGCAACGATTAAACAAAGAAATTATAATCTAGGGAATGATGACAAATGGTCTGAAATGGGAAAACATTATGCCTGAGCATGCCAGAGCCGAGTAGGTCTATTCTTAGTCGAATCTTTAAGAACCTTTTTTTGAACCAGACTATTTAACACATTTATACAGCAGACAAACTCATATTTGGTCTTATCACCAAATATATTCCCATTGCCCTATGCCTTTTAATTTAAAAAGTAAAATTGTTTCAAAAATCCTCAAGTTTTTGAATGCTGACTGTTTATTGGAAAGTAAAGAATGATTTTCTATCTTTAATTACAGGTATTGAGATGAGTCTTGACCCAAGTAAGGAAGATGAAGATGACATGATGAAAGTGATGGGATTTTCTAATTTTGACTCAACAAAGGTACTTTGAAACACTCATGTAAAGGGTCAACTCATAAGCTCCTTAGGGCTACCTTGAGGAATACCACAGGAACCCCAATCATGCCATTATATTACTCTCAACCCCAAGAGTTTCTTAGCACCTTTTTGGGTGTTTTGGTTTTTGATAGCTCACTAATCATTGCATGAACTGCTCTATCAAATCTGCATGCATCGGCAACACTTGACTTCAATATCATTTTCTAAAAACAGGGAAAGTATGTTGAAGGATGTAATCAGAGTGCCACAAGTTTAAAGAAAGCTCGTAAATACAGGTAAAACCTGTTTTTGGATCTTAGTAATTATATAGATGCAGTGACATTAAACTCATTACAGTCAATCTCAATACCATGTACATGGAATCTAATAGTTTGCAATTGCCACAAAATAGGGTTTTGTTAGATGTCAATCAATGTGTTTCCATAACTGTCAAAAAAACACAATTGAAAGTTTTCAAGGGCGCATGCCTATGGGATGTCATGGAAACGCCTTGATTGATATCCACCAAAACCTACTTTACCTCAGTGATGATTCTGTGTGTTCTGTTAAGAAGCATTGTAATAAACTAGGTCACAGAAGTCCAGATACTACTTTCTTACATCTATTTCTTTGCCCCTTTCAAATTGACAAGCAAGTTTAATATTTTAACACTATTTTTTCATTCCACAGACAATATATGAACCGGAAAGGTGGCTTCAATCGTCCTCTGGATTATGTAGCATAAACAGTCAAATTTTATATAAGATTTGCATAAATTACCATCATGTTCTTCAACAGGGCTAAAAATTTCAGCCAGTCATAAGACAATGTTTGTCCAAAATTGCAATTGTCGGGTCAAATCTTTACTAGCTATATCAACCACTAATTTTGAGCCTGAAAATGAGAAATGACTGAGCTTTAACTAATTTGACCTTTTGTTACGACTGGGGACATACAGGTGATTATTTTTAGCCCTGTTCAACTAATGCCATTAATGTAAAGCTTGAATCTTGTATCCACATACAAGCTCATTCACTTTATTTGCTTTTTTGTTCTAAAACAGCTATAACTGGCATATATGTTATTACATTTCACTACTATGTACATTGATATTACAATAAATAATAGACAATACTTTTGACCTGTTGATCAGTGTTGGACAAACTTTAGATCCTACAGTCCCTGTATTATTCAGAAAAGGTTTTTCAAAATATTATAGACTCTTCAAATCATTTTGTTGTCTTTGATACAGATTACTCAGCTTGTGTATTGGCCAGATCATTTAGTATATCAAGTTCTTGAGATCGCTGTGTCGTAAGATCATCATTTAGTCTCCATATTTTGATAACTCCTTCACTATCACCTGTTGCAATCAACTGCAACCTTGAAATGATAAAGGAAAAGTTGATATGCCATTGTGTAAAAAGTTGATGCCGTGTAACATGGTACATGCAATGATTTTTCATGGCTGAAAGTCTAACCTTGACTTTCAGCCATGATTATTTCATGGTCACTCAAGGGCTACTGACAATGACAGTACAAGTTACATGGGAAGGGTTCAAACAATCATTTACCTCTGTCGGTTAAATTCCATTGAATAGACAGGTTTTTTGTTCTGAGATGCTTCAATCGTTGTTACTGGATTGATATGATTTGTCTGCAATGAGAGAACAACAAAATATTAAAATATCACAACTTCCTTTACCTGTCGATTTTGAGATATATGCCAACATGATCTATAATTACTATGTCCCTCTATCCCATTTCCATTTGATATATGTCTCTCTGGTCTAGAAATAGTTACTCTTCATGCACTGACACCTTCATACCTTCAGGTCGTAAATGAGAAGCCTTCCATCAGCTGTGACCACAGAAAACACCAACGGCCTGACAGGTGACCAACATACTTTGAATAAATAGCCTGCACCAGGCTCGAGGGATAGCAAAGGCTTTGACTTGATGGAAAAAATTACGATAATAATGTTATCTTAATTACAATACTTGGCAATGAATGAGGGATTTTAAATGGTAAATTAAAGTGTTAGAATGGATAAATAAACCCTGTGCAGGGCTTAAAATAAAGGCTGGTAAGTTGCCAGTCATGATGGCCAGCCAATTTAGTTTTAGCTCAGTCATACCTTGTTTCTGGCCCAATGTTACTGGTTAAAGTGACCAGCAAGGCAAAGATTTGACCGAACAAGTTCTAATTCTAGGCAGACATTGTCTGGCCATTATTTTAAGACCCGCTGAGTTCAACTGATCTGCATGACAACTCAATTTCTCTTTGAACTTGATGTCCAACTCAGTAGTTCCATCAGTAGCGTGTTTTCCAGGATGCCAACCACACATGTATTGTACTTGTAACAGATGGTGAATAAGTAGATTACCTGTAGCATTGTATAAATTCTGATAGAACCATCTGTTCCACAAGTAACAAAAAGGTTTCTGTGAAAAGGTGAGCATTCAACTGAGAACACTGGTCCAAAGTGAGGTGCAAATGCAAAGGTGACTGGTGATTTCAAGGCAACTGAGCTGGAAGTGGCTGAAAACAAAAACAGGTTTCAGTGTTGACATTATTACTTAGCCTATCACTATGGCAATATCACTTGGCTAAACCTGCATTGACAGTGATTTTCAGTTGTTCAAAAGCTACAGCAATGTACCAATGCATCGAAATGCCTTAAGCATCAGTTCAACTTACTTGATAATGGTGGTCCTCGAGAATTTATTGAGCACTTGAATATCCCTCCTGCTTCGGACCCCATCACAAACAAAGTTTTGTCTTCATGAGAGAATGAGACTGTTGTCACTAAAACATTTCAAGAAATACTGTAAGTACTTTAGCAGAATATTTTGGCTGAGCATGGCTCAACAATACCTCATGTCAGAGCACATGATCCTCATCTTTCTATTCAAAGTAATGAGAATGACTGCATAAGAACATCTTTAGAATTATATAATTACACATTACCTCCCATTTCTGCATCTCCCTTTGCTTTACTGACTCTCATGCTGCGAGGCATAGCCCCTGTTTGTAAGAGGTATCCACCCACTAGCTTTAAATCTTGAGATCCTTGAGATGGGGCTTGCCAAAGCAGTACCTTGCCATCACCACTTGCACTAAGAATCTGTTGATGGTAGAAAGAGTTACCTTGAGTACAAACTATTCGATCAGCACTCTTCGTAAAAACAAAGAGATCAAGCATCTTTTTGGAGCCATTCAATCACAACAAACAGAGGAAAATCCTTAGATGATTTGTTTTAGCTTACTCATGCGAATGATCATGACCTGGCTATAAGTCACATAAAAAATGGTACAGTAATGATAAAAAGGTAAATTATACACAGTGAAAAGATGAAAAAACTGGTCCTTCATCGGAGTAAAAGAAGGACTAGCGTCCGAAATGTCAATAAGTTTTTTCATCTTTTCAAAATGTATAATTTATCTTTCATTAGAAACACTGGCGCAGCTCACACTAGTTTTTAGCTAGTTATCTCTTCTTATAAAAATGGTAGTATGCAAAGTAATAGTATGCAATGTGCTGTACCTGATACTTTTTTCCTTTTGAATCTGGATCAATTATCCACAGTACCTAAAGGAAGAAATAATCAAATTGAGATGACACACATAAAAAGAAAATAAACAAGAAGAGAAAAATGGGATAATATATACACCACACCCGCACAGAGCATCCTGGGGATAGAATCTTTTGTACTTAATAAGCTTCCAATTTTGAAAGTGAAAATAAGTGCTAAAGAATAAGTGCTATAAATAAGTGACAAGGAAGTATAGTACATAATTTGGTAGATTAATGTCAGAAATAATAGAAAAGGTTTACCTTGGTTACAGGTTCCCTGTGTGAATCACTTCCCATACCAGAAGAACCTATTAACATATCATCTTCCTTGCTAAGATCCCATAACAGCACCTCACCTTATAAATAATTATAAATATATTAGGCATATATGACCTAGTGAATACTGTCTAGTGTTAAATTTGAATAAGTATTTTCAATCTAAAGTTCCTTAAAATATCTCTTCCTTCACATTTTTGGGGATAACATATAACCCCRCCCTGACTTCATATAGGTCTTTATACACAGAAAGAACTTCATTTATTCGGACCCTTATCCTTCTCCGCCTTTTGAAAACTCCACTCCCCCTCTGTGAATGAAGTACTAGTATGCATATAAGCTAAATATTTTGATTTGTTTCAAGCAGTTATTTGATCTTTGAAATTATTATCAGAGTATCATCTTCAAGCCATTTTATGAACTATACCATTAAATGTGCCTCCAGCAACAAGGGCAGGCAAGACGGGATGAAATGAGATGGTCATCAAACAACTCTGAAAAAAAAACAATTATAATAAACATTGAGTAACGTTGTTGCTTTAATTCTTAAGGGCTATCATGTTTTGGAAATTGCTGCATTCCACGATCAGTCACAAAGGGGAATAAATGGTAACTTCACATTGAATCTCAGGTTTTAATCTATTCTCCCATACCATACATTACCAATATAATATATTGACAGCTTTATACCATAGTCTGTTTCAGAGGTAAATTTTGCTGGATGTACTTACAGATAAATCCACAGTTGTGTCAGGTTTGTTGGCATTTAAGGTCTTCCTGTCAAGATTCCAGGTACACAGCGATGACTAGAGATGATATCAAAGTTTTGTCATTCAATGTGCAATCCATATTAGCTATAAATGACCAACATTTTTACTGAACAAAATTGTAAAAAAATAAAAGAACATACCTTGTGGGTGCACCAGTCTTCATGATCAAGCCTTCCATATTTAGTTTATGTCAAGGAAGCAATTTATCTTATGTAAGAGTGAATGAACATCACTGATTTATTTTCATTGAAATTTATTTAAGCTTTTAACCATGTACAAGTACAGTAGTGAAACAGAAAGCTAAACAGAGCTTTCATCCTTACACTAAACTTCAGAAGCATCAAGTCACATGCATTTGCAAACATGACGCAAGGAATTTGTTCCATATCTGTGGTACAGAGTGCCTCACACTCTTCTCTGTTTAACTACTGAATATAACAGGGTCATGTAAAATAATTAATTTAATAAATAATAATTAATAATTAATAGCACAACTGTTTGTAGTTAAAACAACAGCAAAACTAGCTATAAATTAATACATCATTGAAAGGATATGAGGCAGCAATGACAGAGCCAGTTGAATTCCATGACAGTCCAGTGACTTGAAGCTGATGCGAAATCATATAATACTGTCATGTTACTAACACTAATAAGTAAATACTGTAAACAAATATCATGGCATGAAACGTGTATAGTGTTTTAGATTAAGTGTGTATATAGTCTCCTCATTGTGGTCTTCAGGGAAGGAGTGACAAGACAACTTCTCTGTCAGCTTAATTAGAGGTTTCCTATGCGATTTTATCGATGGGGGTAATGTGGGTGGGTCATCAATTTTTGTGCAGCCATTCAAGGTTGGGCCACTTTTAATCATGCATGGACTAAAGGGTGGGCCACTAAAACTTGTTTATTGAGATTTCTGATTTTTCCAGCCCACCCCCACCTGTACTTTATGACCAGTCCCTAATGTTTAATATGCTAATAAATGAATATGACAAAGTTGTGTAAACTTCATTAGTTCTTGCCTGTTCTTCCTGGTCACTATTTATCAGCTGGTACTCGCAAGAGACAGAGCTTGATTTCTCTTCCCAGTCAACATCATAACCTTTGAAAACAATGATTAATGAGGTAGTTTTTATACCTTTTCAGCAAACATTTACCCTGGTTCCAGAGGCTCGACGATTTTTCTCCACGTATATTTTGAGCTGCAAAGCCACGAGACTGGTGAGACTTCATCGGAGATCCAACGAAGACTCGCTGCTTTGCAGCTCGCTCGCCACTGCGTGGCTCAAAACGTGGCCGGGAGAAAAATCGTGGCCAGGAGAAAAATCGTTGATCCTCTGGGACCAGGGTAGCAAACATTAGACTGTGCACAACCTTCATCAGTGCTAATGACACCTGCAACCTGATTAAAGTAGCAATAAAATAGGTATATCGTTTATGAATATTTATCATATTTTTCATAAAGAGGTGTCTTCATTTTTAATTCTCTCTTGTAAATCACATAAATGATCAAAGTCATATCATATTCCTTCACACAGATCATAGTTACAATATAGTTTTATCAAAATAGGAGGGGATGTAGCAATTCCTTTGGACAATTTTACATGCAGTTTTTCAGTTAGCATTTTTTTTTCCCTCTGTGGTTTCTTTGAGAAAATTTGTTGTTCTTAGCAAATACCCCTACGCCCATCCCCCTAAAATAAGATTCAAATTGTTTACCATCAAAGGCATGACTTCTAGTATTGGCATCTAGCTGTTTGCTGACATCTGGATAAACATTCAGCATAAAATTGATAAGATTCTGAAAAAGAGAGGCAAGATTTTGACTACTTACATTTTACATAGAGCAGGGCTTAAAATAATGCTGGTTAGTTTGTCTCAATAACTAGAAATTGCCTTTAGAAATTTTTCCAAAACTCGCATACTTTTAGGCAAAGGCCATAAGATTAGTGTCCAGTGTGTCACTTCATAAGTTTAGATCAAATAACATGTGAGACTGCTGCTAATCAAAAACAGTGATGTCACTGTTTTGTTAGGCCTAGGGCAAACGTTGAAATTTCCATGCACTGAACTCATTAAAAACAATGGATATCAGGTGATAATGAGGCAGCATTCTTTTATGCAATTAAGTTCGGTGCATGGAGAGTTCGAATTTTATGGTTGTGAAAGTCAAGGCTCACAAGAAATGGTCAGCTTCGGCGATTAACCGAGAGATTTGAGACTCCAATCTGGAGACCAGGAGAGACGGTCCAAAATCTGGAAACTCCCGGTTTATCCAGGAGAGTTGACAGCCCTGACTCTCTCCCCCCCTTCCCCTAACACATTACTCAGTARTCACAGGTCAATAAAATTGCCTATATACCTGAGAGATATCATGCCCTATCGTTAACTGCGGTTCTTTTTCTTCTTCTGTTTGAACCTTTATGAAACAAACATACGAAATATATAAGCTTAAGCTCATAAAGATAATAAGCAAGGCTCCATGGAAATAAAGGGCAAAAAAGAGGGTTTTAGTTAGTACCTCAGCGTCCAATTTCTGAATTACTTGAACGTCAGCTTCATAAGTTATGATTTCACTAGTTTGTGCTACACTGTCTTTCACTGATCTAGAAGAATAAACCAGGCATATTTTATAAATTGTCGAAGGTATTTTGACCACAACACCTAATTCATAATTTTTTGGGGGATTAATTTTCAACTTTCTTACCTCTCAGTTTTCCATGAAGATTGAAAATAAACGCCTTCTTGAGATTCTACACTGAACATTTTTTTTACAATCAAAACTTTTCAATAAAAGACATTATAAGGTAAGACTCTTCTTTTCTTCCAGTTGCCAAGTTCCAGTTTATTTTGACTTCAGTTTTCAAAATGGCGGTAATTCATGCAATCGATATTCTTACGGGCTTTTAATTTTCGAAAAACGAAGGCTATTTCATAGAAATCGAGAGAGCGAAGGCAAGTCGACAGCATACCGAAGCTTCACGAACAGTCGTGAATTCATTAACGAACACATATCGACTGATGAGTACGGAACACAACACTGAAGTTGTAACCCTAGCAACCAAAAAGTAACAGCAAGTTGAAGAAGTCAAGATGGCGTCCAGCAAGACTTCTTCGAGTTTCTACAATATGCCGCATAGAAGTGGCACTTACATGGCGAATCATGGTGCCAGTGCTACTTCAGAAGTTACACCAGATCTCCATTTGAAAATGTCTAAGAAGATCGCCCAGCTTACTAAAGTCATTTATGCTCTGAATACCAAAAACGACGAGCATGATGCATTCGTGGAGAGTTTAAAAATGTCACACGAAGAAGAATTACAGCAGTTGATTGCTGAGACCAAGGGTAAAATTGATTCTTTCAAAGAACGACTAGGAGTTGTTAGCGAACAGAAGCATAAGATAGAAGTACTTGAGTCGATAGTTTCCAAGGAAAGATTGCAAAAAGAAGAAGCGCTAAGTGGATTTGAAAATATGAAACGACAGTATGAGGAGAAACAGTCTCTCTTTCAACGGGAATATTCTGATAAAATGTTATCAATGTGCAAAGAAATGTTATCCTCAAAGAAGGAGTTTGAAGATCGCTTAAAGGATTTTCAAGCAATGCGTCGAAAATTGGAAGAAGATAGGGATAAAATGGTCGAGGATTTGAGTAGTAAACATCATGAAGAATTAGACCAGCTAATGAAAGCACATAGAGTGCGATACGATGAAGTCGTACGAGAAAAGCAAAAGCTTGAACAGGAAAGCAAAGAACGGGAAGCTATGATTAAGGAGCACCTCGATTCTTCTGTATCCCTTGCTAGTGATGAAAGAAAGAAACTTGAAAAGGAGTACCAAGAAAAAGTTGAAAAATTGAAAATATTTTATGAGAAAGAACTCGAAGCATTACGAGCCGCTCAAGCACAATCTAATGAATCAAACTCTAAAACTTTAGAAGAAAGAGAAAAGCAACTTAAGGCAGAGTGGAATCGCCAAGAGAGACTTCTGAAAGAGAGAATTTCGGACCTCTTAAATAGGCAAAGTGATAGTGAACATGAAATAACTCAGTTAAGAAATCAAATTGGTGAACTGAAGAGTCTCACTGACGGTACAAATGATGCCGTAGAAAGACTTTCTTTGCAGTTAAAGGAATCAAAACAAGAAACTTCTTCTGCTCTGAGTGATGTTAGGGAACTTCAAAATGAGCTTATGATATACAGAAAGAGAAGCGAAGAGAAAACAGCTGAGATTGCAAGGCAATCAAGTAAGTAAGATGGACAATTGATGATTTATTATCCAAAAAGGTGATGATTGATCAAAGCCAGGGATTGATTTGGCCATTAGCACTTTAGGTCATCAGCACTTTTTTGTCACTGTTTGAACAAGATTGATCATTGATGTGGTATGATTCATTCCTGATTTGATAATACAATGACTTATAAACCAAGGAAAATGATTATTTGTTTATCACAACTTGGAAACTACAAAATTGTACAAATCTACATATTTTCTTACAAACCTAGTGTTACCTCTGGTATGCTGGGCTAAAAGTAATGGCTAGTCAGACAGGTCATAATTACAGGTTAAATAAATTTTAGCTTGGAAATACCTCTTTATTTTTGGCTTACTGAATGTTACTGGTCAAATATGACCAACCAGGCAAAAATTTGACTGGAAAAGTCCAATTCTGGCTTGACTTTGTCCAATGACCAGCCATTACTTATCCCTGAGTATGAGACGTGTAATATACTCTGTAAGAGAGGAAAAAATCACAAATGTTTCACACAAACGTTTTTCTACTCTATCTCTTATACCCTAGTCTCCTCCTTCCCAAAAATTATCCTTTCCTACCTCTCCCCCCCAAGAATTTCTAAATAATCTTGCCCAAATTGCATTTCAGCTGCTATTGGCAAGCTAGAAGCCAATAAACTTTCACAAGAAACCAATATCCGAAGTCTGAAATCCAACATCAATGAACTAAACAATAATCTGAGTAAACTGCAATCAAGTTATGAAGAGTTAGAACAGCAGTATAAATCTCACTTCCTGGAATCTGGTGAACACGTAGAATCTCTCAATAATGTATGTAATTATGTTGAAATACCTTATTTTTGTAATGCTCTGAATAATGGACTATTTCTATGATGCACATATTTTGTACATAAGATAAAGTTTAGATAAGATGTTTTACTTTTATGTTTCAGGAAATCAAAAAATTAGCCAATGGAAAGCAAGAAATTGAAATGAAATATCTTAAAGAGTTAAACAATTCGAAGGACACTGCGTCTGAAAGAGAAAACAGCCTTAGAAAAGAACTAGAGGAAACTACATCAAGGCTTGAAGCTAAACATAAAAATGACATGGAAAAACTTCACCATGAAATGAAGGACAAATTAATGGATTTAGAAAAAGAACTAAAGGAAAAATCCCAAGTTGAAAGAGATAGCATAATCAAAGAGAAAACTTTAGTAATAACAAAACTTGAGAAAGAGTGTCTGGAATTAAAGAAAAGCAATGAAAATGTTGAGAATGAATGCAAAAGGCTGTTAAATATGGTACAAGAGAGTGAAAAAGGTCTTGGTTCTGCTTCATCTAATCTTGAAAGCTTGAAAAAAATGTTGAAAGATACTTCAGAGGCCTGGGAAGGCACTAAACAAGAGCTTGAGGAAGTTACAAACAACTCAACGATACTGAAAGTAAGTTGATAGAGTTATGCCCCTCTAAAGGCCCAGCCCAACCCCCAATATTAAAAATATACATTTCCTTACAAAATCTTCTTACTCCCCACCCTCCTCACTGCTACTCTTTTAGACCCCTTGCACTTACTGTAGTTATTCCCAATCTTGGAATAAGAATAGGATTTTTTATTATTGAGGATTAAAATCTTTGTTTATAGACCAAATTCAAAACTTGCACCGATGTTAGGCTTAAGTTGTGAACAAAGGGATTTGGCGTGACTCAAAGTAATCTGGCGTGATTCAAAAGTCACAAATCACGCCAGATTCCATTGTTCACAACTTAAGCCTCACATTGGTGCGAGTTTTGAATTTGGTCTATGCTACTATTTTTCAATACTTTTACCACACCCTCAGCTGCAGGTAGGGATTTAGTGAAAGGAGTCTATTACACTCTACTTAGTAATGCCAGGTCATTTCTATTTCAAAAGTGCTCTGTACCTTTACTCTACCTGGTTGGGAGCTTCTGCCTCAGCATTCATGATGTTCCCTTATTGCATGTCAAAATAGAATGACCTACACAGGAAAAAAAACCAGATTCCCAAATTGGGAATTTCCTTGAATTCCCAATTTGAACACCAACCTTGGGATTTATTGTTGGGAATTTCATTCTAATACCCAATGGAAGAACAAAATTCCCAACAAACTAACATTGGGAATCAGTGCCACGTTCCCAATTTGGCTCGCTCTGGGAATTGGATGGGAATTCGTTTTTTTTTCCTGTGCTACTTTTTTGAGAAAAAAATCTCACTGCATTTTGGACAATGTGATTAAACTATCCAACAATTCTTTTCATTAAATACCAGACTGAATTAATCAACCTTCAAAAGAAGTATGAGGAATCCAAAGTGGAAGCTCAGAGTAAATTACAGACTAGTTTGCAGACCTTGACTCAAGAACTTGATGATAAGTGGAATAAAAAACTAAGGTAAAATCCCATGTAGTAATACTATACATACAAATAAGGAGCATTTGTTAAATAAATTTAAACATTATTACAAGGAAAGCAATTAATATATAATTATACAAGCAAAGTCTAATGTGATATTATATCACAAGAAATGAACTTATAATTGAAAGTGATTTAAAGCTCAAGGTCACTAGTGATGTATGTTCTTATGGAAAACAAAAGTTATTGAATCTCCCAAAAAAAGGGTGTGGCTCTTACTCTTGAATACTTAGACACCTTATTTTTGTTTGGTTTTGTTTATGTTAGGGATGAGAACAGCAGACTGAGATCAGAATTAAATGACCAACATAGTAAAGAAAACAGAGCTGCATTAGAGGAGTTGACAAGGATCAAAGAAATGGAAAGGGAAGAGATGAGAAAAGATCTTGAGAGTAGAATGGAAATACTCAGGAAAACAGTAAGTAGCAATGTAAAGTTATTTCAAGTGTTATTTTGTAATTTCAAACTCTGTAATCCCTGCAGATTGGCGCTAATGCTCAAAACCTCGCAAATAAATTGGTTTTGGTTGAAGAAAATACAATGTTGATTGTTTGGTGGATAAAAGACAAACTGTGTGGTAAAGTGGTGTTATATGAAAATGAACATGGGTGATTAATAGACCTCCTCTGCTCTGACGCAACATTTTCCCATTTCAGACCATGTGTCATTCCCTAGAGTATCATTTCTTTGTTTAAGGTTTGCGCTCGGTTGCACATGAGAAGACACAYGAATATGGATACAACTCAAACAAAGAATATTATTCTCAAGGGAATGACACATGGTCTGAAATGGAACAAAATTAATTTTGAGCCCTCCATAGCCGAGGAGGTCTATGGTCCCACTATTTGCAACCACAACCTTCCAACCCAGCTCCCCTTAATTTCTGAAAAATAAGTTATTGCAGATTTCCAGGAAAAGTTCCCCGTCCCTCCCCAATACCTTAATATTGTAGTATGTACTATTATTATGTTGTGTGTCAAGGCAAGGTGTATAGAATTTTGGGTGCTACCATATTTTCACCCACGATTCCCTTAAGGCAACCCATGAATTCAACTGAAAAAAAACTATACTTAACTGTTTTATGATCTGACTTAAGACATCTTTCTCAATTAATATTTATTATCAAAAAATATTCATATAAAAAAACTACATGTATCTTTGGTTTTCAAAATTTGCTAGCTTGGAGTTATTCTATATAATGATCCATTAAAATATTAATTATAGTCATTGAAGTCTAATATTTGAATAAATCCAATAAAAAATAAGAGAATTGTAGTCTAGAAGTAAGACTACAATTCACTGGGTTAACAAAAGAATCTAAAATGTGCAGATATTTAAGCTATTTTGATAAAAATATAATATCTTTGCATAACAAGTATTCTGTATTTTCCTATTAGGTAAAAGAACTGGAAAGTGAAAAAGATATCTTAATTCAAAATTCCAGTGATGTGGTAAATGACTTAAATATAAACTTCCTAAATAAATATCAATCTAAAATATTAAAAAATACTACTAAATAAAATATATCAGGAGAATTCCACTAAATATCAATAATATTAATTTAAAATCTTAAAAATAGAAATTACAGGTGAGTGTAAGCCAGATATAAAATTAATATCAATGTTAGAACACCTCGAAAACTAAAATTTCACGTGGAAAGAAGGCATTTTTATAAGGATACATCTGGAATCAGACTAGAATACTGTACTGTAATGTACAGTTGTTTTGTACTTTATGACCAGCTAACATGCATCTGTTGACAATTATTGGCAGACCTTTGGCCTTATCCATATTAGACTTTTTGGCATAGGCCAACAGTTGGTTGAATCTCAAAAAAATTATTACCAAAACTTCAGCTGCATAACAATGAGATAACCATGTTTGTAAGAAGCTTTTAAAATAAACTCAATGTCCAATCACTTACTATACTAGGCAGTTGGTTAATTAAAGTTCATTTTGCATAAAAGGCTAGGTTGTAAACGCAACAAACAATGGCGTAGCCTATTTTATGAATTAAAAATCACTATTTAATATTGTTTCATCAATTCAAATAGATAAAAGATTTGCAAGACAGCTTGGAAAAACGAAAAGCAAATGCATCAAGTATAGAACACCAGTTACGAGATGACCTGGAGAAACAGAGAAGGAAACATGAGGAAGAAATGGCAAGATTGTCTTTAAATCTTAATAACAAAATCAAGGAAATTGGAGAATTCCATGAGGGAGAGATGAACACATTAAAGGAGCTTGGAGAACAAAAGTTACAGGTACAGGATATCTACATATTTTACAGGAACAAAAAGTCAAGCAATTTGTTACTATAATAATCAATAAGGGGATTGAGTATCCAGATGTATATTGGCAAGGACAAAAAGTGAATGAAAGAATAGTGACTGAATAAATGAGTGAACAATGAAAATAATAAACCAATGAAACATGATTACCGTAACTTTTAAGTAGGATTATCACTTTTTTTTTTCTTTTTTCAAACTTTCTACTGTTTCCAACCTTCTAAAATTAAGCATTGAGTTCAAATAGCCTAGTATCATTTATTAAATAATTTATTTAAATAACTTTCTATTTTGATGTAATGTTTACTTTAGGATTTAGAGAAATGTTTACAGGCAAAATACCAAGATGATTTGGCTTCTAATTTACAAGCAAACAAGGTTGCTCTTGATGCCATGAAGTCTCAGGCAGAGCTTGCAAGGAAAAAACAAATTGATGAACTGCTGGCAAAACAGGAAGATGAAAAAGGTAATTATCATACTAATAGCATTTTTGTGCATATTAAATATTAAATATTAAGTAAAAACAAGATAGTGTAATGCCTTGGAATTTTAGATTTTGGTCAGTGTGCAGAAAGTGGTAAAAAATGACTGTGTAATCTTACAGTAATTACATGATGAGTTTAAAAATATGTAGATAATTATTATTATCATTATTATTATTATTTATTCGTTATCATTATTATTATTGATGTTCTTACACAGTAGTATTATATGTTTTCAGTAAAATAAAGTGATTACTGTATAAAAAGATATAAAYGTGGGTTTGCTTGCTCAATCAAGAGTAAATGGCACCTGGCATATGCTATATAATTCTATATTTCCACTTCAAAAAAACCTGATATTTATTCAAAAATATGCAACACATAGTAGATCAATTTTATGCACAAATTGCATGGGATCCTATTGATGAGAAATATCTTTCCATTACACAGAGTCATTAAGAAATGAGCTTCTTAGAAAGCAACAGGAAGACATGCAACAGCTGAACAAAGAGTTTGAGAGCCAGATGATGGCTTTAAAATTACAACTGCAGCGAACCAATGAAATTATGACCAGACAGGTGGGTGTTGATATTTTTGGTTCATGTTTTGATTATTATTTTAGCACTGCACTGCACTTAAGATAGATCTTTCTGGTTTAAGAAAGTTTCTAGACTATTCTCTAGATGTCTAGTAATCTGCTTTTCAGGGATTTCGCTGTCAATTCAAGACATTGGCTGTATGTTGTCCATTGCTTATTTATTTTAAAATCCATGCATACATTAAGTCTGTTAAGGCTCTTATTTGCATATTAATTCATAACAATCAGTTACAAAATAATTCAAATTGACTGACAATATTTAGAAATTATAAATCAAAAAAAATTCCTAAGCTAAAATAAGAATGGGAAGATTTTTTAGTAAGTAGTATACATAGCGCGAAGTCAACTTTTCTTGATTTAATTCAAAAAGGTATTATCACTTTATTATCATTATTATTATAGGTAATGGAGAGAGAGGATTCACTCTATAAGTTTATATAATTAAAGTAAATATTACTAAATATATTTGCCTATTATTCAGGAAGCTGAGCATCAAACTAAAGTAGATGATATCACGCATGAACTAGGACTGAAAGACTCACAGCTCCAAGAGCTGGATGGCGAAATATCTGTGCTAAGGAATAATGTGGCTAAGCTTGAAGAGGAGCTACAGTCTAAAGGTCAAGAGATACTAGCTATAAGAAGAGAAGCCAACTCACAAATCAGGTATTAATGACTAGCTATTTACATTTCATAAGAGTTAAATCCAAGTAGGTTTTGGTGGACATCAATCAAGGTATTTTCATGTGACATTCCTTACACACATGCCCTTGAAAACATTGTTATTTCCAACAGTGTTATGAAAACAATTGAATTGACGTCTACCAAAACCCCAATTTTTAGCATGTGATTGGGAAAAAGTCATAAATTATCCTTTTAAACATGCATGGTTTTCCTGTTTTTGAAAATGCCTCGTAGGTGTTCTCTTCCTGATATTTTACTCTTATTTGTTGACTTATAAAAAATGCCAAATGTTTTTCCATAGGAAGCGTGAGGAACGTTTGGGAAGGCTTCACCAACAAGAAATTGATTCACTAACATCAGAGCATTTGTCAGAAACAAAAGGACTTGTCGATGAATTTAATCGAGCAAAAGAACTCCAGAATAGCAAAATATCTGCACTACAATTGATGTAAGTAACTTAAACTGCACTTCAACATAAGAATTTAGAGAATGAATTGAGATAATCATACTAAGTCTTACTAATTTTGTGGAGAAGTAACTAAGTAGCTTAACTAAAGAAAAATCTACTTAGCAAAGGTCTCTTTGATATCGTTACCCCTAATGGATGGTCTGGGAAAATGAGCAGGCAGGGGACTCAAACAAATCCAAAAAATAGAGGAAATTGTTCCCCATATATGTTCCCTATATGTATCAAAGATAAGAGTCAAGTGGACACACAGATGCCCCTCACTGATACAATAAATCTAAAGCCCTTTAGCATGTTGACATATTGACCAACATTATTGCTTCCTTGGTTTTTTGATTAGGTTGGAGGAAGCTGAAATTCGTTTCAAGAACAGAGAATCAAGGCCTGAGGATGTAGAAATGCTAGATACATTAAAGAGGGCACTTGCTGATAGAGAACTAGAGATGAGGAAATTAGTGGTAAGATATGAATATTTTTGTCTGGGATTCTAGTGTGCTACATTTCTTTACGAAACATATTGCTAAATACTTTGTATCCATCTTTAGGAGGAGAAAAGATATTTCCAAATGGAGCTCCTCAACAGGGAAACCAACTTTAACAAAGTGTTCAGTACTTCACCTAATGTTGGTGTTATCAACCCATTAAACTCCAAGACAAAATTAACACCAAAAAGCAAAACCGTCTCGAAAAACAATGGCTTGTTCATGAGTACATCGTCAAGACTGGATCCCATACCGAACATGCAAGTACATGAAAAGAGACTAAATAACACAAAACCCCTACCTCCAACCCCTCCTAAAGACCCTCCACCACATTCTAGAACTGTGGTATACTAAATGTATAGAAAAAAATAGAATAATGTGCACTTCCAGGTAAAATTTATCTTGGAAAATAATTTAAAATATTTGTGTGACTTCATGGCTAGAGATTTTAATACTCTAAGTTGGGTGGGAGGGTGGTTAAAGCAAAAACATGCTAATCTAAGATTGTCATTAAATAATTTATTATATTACTTTAATAAAGTAAGGCATCCATGTTTTATAGATGGAGAGAGGGGAAAAGATTTAATTTTCTGGAAGTGCACACTTTATTAAAGTCTTTATAAATGTGTATATAGCATGACTGTATTATAATATTGTGTTGGGAAATACTTTTTAAGATGTACGAAAACTATATAAATAGGTAAATATGACTTGTAAATAGTTCTGAGGCCACTTGTTTGTAACAAAAAACAAATATATCTATAGCATCAATTATGGTACTCAATGAGTATGCTAAAAATCACAATTTATTTGAGATGAAGTTAAAACAGTATTTTTGAGAAATAAAAACTTATCAAACTAGACAACTTGATCTACGTGTAACTTTTTTCTCATTCATAGTTTATCGAAACATGATGATGACACTCATCAATCCATAAAAAAGTTACAACAGGGAACAGTGGAAATTGCTCTTATCATTAACTGGATAGGAGCTAAATTATTCCCAGTTTTAATTTTACCATTATAGAGTGCACACACTAAACTCATGAATAATATTTAGTACTAATAARTAGTAGAGTGCACGCGCTAAACCCGTGAAACATATTCAGTACTAATTAGTACTATTTCATACAGGATCCTTTGTTTTCTATTGTTTGATTATCACTATTTAGTACTAAAAATTAGTATTTGTTTCACTGGTTTAGTGAGAGCACTCTAATTCATACGGAATCCTTTGTTTCCTATTGTTTATCACAATTTTAGTACTAAAAATTAGTATTTGTTTCACGGGTTTAGTGCCAGCACTAGAATGCAACCTAAATAGTGCTAAAAGATTATGCTAATTCTATTGTTTTCTAGAGTGATTTTACTTGGACCGTGAAATCATTTCCATTGTCTGCTCTTTTGTCTCTATTTGATTATATAACAACTGCAAAAACCATTTCACGGTCTGAGGAAAATCACTGTTTAATTGGTGCTAAATAGTGCAAAGCATTGCTCGCTTTTAGTGTGTGTCCTAGCTCTATTGGTAATACTATCTGTCGAGACTACTTCCCACCTAACACATATAGAAACATACAGTAAAATGCATTTAACCAGTGTAATAAAAATGTCAGTCAACGTATGATAGTCAAATAAGCAAAAACAAAAAGCAAAAAAAAACAATGAAATTTTTATACCTAAACTATTCTTTCACAAGCAAAGGAAAATCACTCTAGACCTGTCAATTTGGCTTGGAACTTGAAATTACTTTGGCTTTTCTCATTTGTCCACCTTCCTTCAGAAATAATCATGGTTGCTGTTCAATTGAACATTTTCTCATGTATGATGACCATAAAGGTCATTGACTTACTTTAAAAAGAAGAGGGAAATAAAGAAATGATGGAAGAGTTACTTTTTGACAAGAGTTACTTTTGAAGGAAAAGTAGCTTCCATGTAGACGTGTAGAGTAATAGAGGCTTTGCACCATCACACCAACACATGATGGCAGCCATGTTAGATGGCAGAAGCAATAAGATTATTTTACATGGAAATAATTTAATTCCAAGAGTGCAAACAGTCCAAGCCGTATCATGGGCGCTGGCAGTTGATGGTTGAAAGCCTCTATTTAGGGCCAAAATGTTCTAAATAGACAGAACTCTGTGGATGCTTTTCAGTTTCCTTCCATTCCGACTAACCAATACCAGTACACATATATCATCCTTCCTTGGTAAGATAAGGGGAATGGAAATAGATATGGGAAAAGAAATCAACTACACACTAATTTTTAAAAGGAGTTTTCCTTGATTCTGTACTTTTTAAAAGTCTAGAATTATACGTGAAAATTCCTAAAATAAAATGATCTACATTGGGGAAAATTCCATGGAGATATTTATTTCAGTTCTTAGCCCTCAGCTTCCCAAATTTTGGCATAACTAAACAGAAGCAAACAGGAATATACTGCAAAATAGCTATATTCCTTTCTTTCAATAAAGAAGATGGTTTGAATGACAAGGAAAGCAATAGAATATTTAACGGCCATATACGACCAGATTTTTGAATCATTATAAGGAGCAAAGAAAGATGTAACCGACTTTAGTCATCAAAAACACAACTAATCTTTAAAAAATGGAAGACTTTACTATGGTCTTTCACACAGAGAACATTTACAATGTAAGTCGAAGTCATAGGATGCACGATAAACTTACTCGAGAACTAAAACTAAAGTCCGTTGTGTTATACTTTCAGTAACACATTACACATAAAACGAATGATGAGCTCTTAAACGACAAGTTTGAAAATGTTCAAGATAAGTACAATGAGCTTTCTTTCTGTAAAATTTTATTAAATCGAAACGTAGATCAATGGGTCAAATGGCTGTTTTACAGCCGCATGCTTTATGGCCCCAGTGTTTATATGGACCCTTTTTACACTATACAACGAATTTACGACAAAAAAATGTACGACTACAAAAGTAGAGAGAAATATCTAATCAAAGCATAAAGAATTCTAACGGAAAACTTAAAACTAGTTTTCGGGTGAATAAATGTAAGTTATGTATATAAAAGGCAAGGTTGGAAGCTTGTCGAAGATGACGAACGAAACACAAAGACTAAAGTCACTTGTTTACCGTCTCAGTTCCAAGAAAACTCTTTGGTTGTAAAGACATAGTGTTTATAGAAGTAAATCAACTCTCAACGGCTTGTTCAGTAGCTCCATTTGAGGCAGATAGCTCTTTCTTTCCTTCTTGAGCTTTTGCCTGTGCTTTCTTTGAGCTGACATCTTTGTTCTTGGGTTCTTGTTCGGCGTTCACTGCTGGTTCTGTCACACCACTCTTCATGTTTGCCACTCTCCTGCTTACACGAGAAGGTGGATTTCTCTCTTTAACTTGCTTGGGCTTCTTAGTTGAAGGTTCGCTGCTGTCAGTCTTTTTTGGACGTCCTCGTCCTTTTTTTTCGGGGTTCTTTCTTTCTTCGACGTTTTCGACAGTTGGCTCTTCTTTCTCTACTTCTGCTTCTGGGGCTTTTTCCTCGTGGACTTCTGGAGTTTTTTCTGGCTGGCTATCAACCTTTGGTGCAGCTTTGGTTGCTCCCTTTTTGCCTGGCATCTTGATTAAAGTTAAGCAGCTAATACGACGCAAAAAAAAACACAGGAAAAAACAAAGCACGAGATGACTTCTCTAGATCAGCCAAACCGATCGACCAAACAGCAAGCCTTCGATTCCTTGACAGCGGAAAATGCGTTCCTCGTGTAAACCGGTTTAATCAGGTCTGATGTTCACAAATTTAACAAATAAGAAGACAGGATCCGTAAGATTGACGTACGGAAACCCGCGTGGTGTTATGCTTGCGATGTTTCGATACGGCGCGCGAAACATGACGGTAGTGAAAACTGACCAATCAGAACCCTCTATTTCAAGAGAGGGAAAAACAAAAATGGCGTGCAGAGAGAATGCAACTGCTAAGACAGGTAGCCCAAGCTCTGCTTTTGTGGGGTTTTTACCAAGAGTCTATTATATCGATTATCTTTGATTATCTTTGAAAATACTGAAATAAATGCTACTAACTTTTCATGTTGTCTTAACCTGTTCTTTGTCTTAGTCTCTTATACCATTCTCTTATATTTTCCAATCTTACTCAGCCACCCACCCGCCCCCCTCCCCCCTACCATTTCTAAGTGTGGTCCCTGGTCCTTGATTTTGGTATGCTGCACTAGGCAATTTCTCGTGCAAACTTGCAAGAAACATCACATTGTATATGATGTTTACCATCTCAATTCTATAGCTTGGTTGTCATTGCAAGTAATTTCGTGATAGTCAGGCCATTAACAAAGTAGGCTGCCTCCCCATTTATATTAAAAACTGAAAATTTTAGTTCTGTTAATAACGCATGGACTTGTTTGACCTAGTCAACCTCAATATTTTTAACCTCGCTATGGGCCTTGAAGCAGTGATGCCCAATGCTAAAATGTGCTACTTCAGGAATTCTGCTTTTCTTCTCATGAGAAAAATGTATTAACATGTACTTACAAAACATATTTATGGAGTATTAAAGTTCAAATTCATGGGAGAGACAGGATTGAGTGATGGCGACATTGTGTTTGGAGGAACACTTGTAATGTTATGCCCTATAGATGTTTCATGCTGATACAGGTCAGATGTGTCTGCTTCCCCTTCACCTCTGCTTCTTGCCAGGGAAATTTCTCTTAACAGACTTTTCCCTTCCTCACGACTCTGTAATTCAAAAGCATGGTAGAAAATATCTCAAATGAGAGAATAAATGGCAGTTTTGGGGTTTCCTTCCTCCATAAAAATCGACATGTGAGTTGATAGCATCAAGGGCAGATCCAGGGGGTGCAGGGGGTGCGCAACCCCCTGGTTTGACTTTGTGCCCCTACTTCAAAGTAACAATACTGGTTTTTCCTTTCGATTCTAAGGGGTGCACCCCCCTGAGTTCACTTTGTGCGCAGGAACCACCCCTGAACAAAATCCTGGATCTGCCCCTGAGCTTTGTGTGCATAGAATATTGCAGAATGTAGTGGTAGAAAATGTGCGTTAGAATGACTAGACACTTAAATAAAGAGATTTATTTATTTTTTACAAAATGGTTGAAAAATTGAAAAAAAAAAAATGGAAAATAAATAGGATTTGGTGAAATGGAAGGTTAAAAATAAAATTAAAAAACACAAAAGAAACAGTCAAAACACAAAAGACAAAAAAAGGAGATAAAATACACCGAATCAAAGTATGGCAACTAGAATAATAGTTATTCAAATTGGTCACCATATTTCGATCCAGTGTATAAAGGATAAAAAATGGAAAGTCCAAATAATCTTACCTCACTGTATTCACAACATTTGTGGGCATACAATTCAGCATCTTCAAGTTTCTTTCTTTTGAGATAGTACCTTGACATAAAAATGTATGCAATGCAAACCTCCTCAGGAGATATAACCTGGAATTAAAAGGTGTATTCAATAAATAATTGTAACACAATAATAATTTGATTCCAGCATTTGATTTGGGCAGCCTGATGGGAGCAATGCAAAAAATTAACAAATTGTATTAGAATAAACAAAGCCTTTTGCCCAAAACTGCCTCACTCTTATGGCCCCTGTGATACTTTGGGAACTCACTCACATTTCAGAATTAATTTATTATTCATAGAGCAAGGAAATTTTGGACAAAAGTTGAGTTGAAATAAACGAAGCGTTTTGCCTGAAATTGCCTCACTCTCATGGCCGCTCATGATACTTTTGACAGCAATTTTCACATCTTAGAATTAATCTGTTATGCATACAGAGGAATCCAAAGTTCTATTCGTGCTTTAAATTAATATTCATTGCATGGATATCACTCACTCCTATAATATCAGCTTGTTCAATGTAGCGTAAATAATATTTGGTAGCATCATCTTCTTCTTGTAGTTGTTCATGGAGCCTAGAAAAACAAAATGGAAAAAAACATTATGGGCATTGGAAAGTATTGTTAACCTGCTATTCCAAGATACTTGCACAGCCCAGTGGAATTTTTATTGGAACAAAGAGAGGGTTTTTCAAGTGTATTTAGTGAGCAAATGCCTGAGTAGGTAGACTGTGTCCATTGTACTCCAGCAGGGATATTCATAATATCATCAAAGTTTGTTGGTTGGCTTTTGTGCTTTGCCAGTTATTTTGCAGGTTCTCTGGCTTCCCATCTAAAAGAAATGGTTTTGAAGATTGCTGGCACTGGTTTTTTATTCAAATTTGCATGAATATGACAAAGTTTTATAAAATATTTGGGATACTACGCGCGATATGATTGGTCGAAATCCATGTTTGATGAGAGTATCAAAACACGCTACCGTCATTTTTAATCTATCGCGCGCGCTCATTGGTCAGTTTGAATAAGACGGCACGTAGGGAGAATTTATTAGACTTTGCTTTTTTTCGATCTTTTCGTGCGTTTGTTATTTTATAAAACAAATCAAAAACAGTTTTCTGTGTTTGATACTCTGATCAAAACATGCGGGATGTTGGGAGAACACTCGAGAAGCTGGAAACCACTCCGCTACGCGTCGTGGTTTCCTACGCTCCTCTCGTGTTCTCTCAACATCCCACGTGTTTTGATCAGAGTATCAAACACGGAAAACTGTTTTTGATCTGTTAATTGTCACACCTGTCAGAGGAAGGAAGGAAGGAAGGAAGGAAGGAATAAGGCATTGGTACAGTAGACATTGGCAGCAAGTTAACGCAACCAATTAGACAACCTATGCACACAGTCACTTGGATGCACAAAATGCTTGATCAAATGCTTTCCACAATCTCTTGACTGATTGAAACAAAAAAACCTTGATTTGATGATGTCAATGTCACATTAATAGAAAAACATGTGTCTACTGCAATTAAACCTACCTTGCAAGTTTGATGACTGCTATTCCTTCCACATCCCCTACAGATATAGCCCTGAAGTAGCTCTTTGTTAGAAAAAAAAACAAATTACAGGCAAAATATTGAATTAAATGACATCGCTTGAATAAAGTAAATAATGTAAATACTAGACAATTCCTGACAAAGATTAATTGAAATACCTTCTTAGCCTCTTGCAGTTTTTCTAATTTTTCATAACAATCGCCAAGAGCAACCAGCATCCTTGAATCATTTGGTCTGCAAAAATAAAGAAAACCCCCTTTTAGGTTTCCTGCCAATAAAGACATGGTTGCCCCAACTCTGAAAGTGGCTGTGAGGTTCATGGCTGCCACATGCGAAAGGTTCATTCTTTGCAGCTCTTCTTCAATGACATCTTGACTAAGATAAACCTGTTGCTCCACCTCCTCCCATCCCCCTAACAATGCAACTGACATACTAAAAAGCTTTATTCTTCTGCAATAAGTGAAGCATTTGTCTGGGTGCTCAGTTGTGGAATTTATGGATTAGACAGATTTGATAATAGAGCTCACTACGAGTTTATAACCTCAGTTTCTGTGCTTGTCTGTAATAGTATAAGCAATATGATGGCATCTTGAGTATCTCGTATGTCTGCCCAAGTCCATACCATGCTCTATAATCTCTAGTGTTCACCTCTATAAAATAAAAAAAATACTCAAGTTTTGAATTCTCTGGTTGTTGTTCAGTGAGGATTGTAACCAGTAGCTTTTCTTTGCAACATATTGATAGTTTGCAATCATTCCCAAGGGAATAAAAAAACATGGTGGCAATATTGGTGGTAATGGATGCTAATGAGAAATTTTGTTGTTGTTATTAGACGCTTTACACCATCACGTGATAGCAGCCATGACAGGAGGCAGGAACAATTGAATCTGTTCTAATTTGATTAATATGAGAAAGAATTCAGTTTCCTATGGGGGAAAGCTCCTGTGATGGCTGGCATCAAGTGATTGTGCAAAAAAACTGGTGCAAAGCCTCTATTACTATACCACCAATATTGGCAACAATGACATAACATGAAGAATATGTCTCTGATATGTACAGGTAAATGCTTCCTTCACTGAGTCAATAGGGCCTGCCCTCAATGTAGGAAATGTAAATCTAGTATTCATTCATATTGAATGTCAATCAAAAAAAACAATGCCGGAATCGCCAGGGCACGGGTTTGAATCCTTTCAAAGCTAAGAATTTCTTCTGAGTCTTTCAATTTGCAGCTGCATAAGTTGCTTTCATATACTGCGAGGATCAGCTCAATTTCCTACATTACAACCACAGTACAAATACGAAAAAACGAAAGTTACCTATTGCTTTTCTATATGATTCGATTGCAGCAGAGGGGTTCTTCAATTCCATGTATTCATGACCCATCAATGTCCATGCCGACGTGTATTGGGGATTGAGCTTCAGAGCTCTCTGAAAGTACATCACTGCCTTTTCATGTTGACCACGCAGGCTGTAGTAGTTACCTTGTAAAATTTAAGTACAGTATCAAAAAAAATTGAAGACAGAGCCAAACTAGAGGGAATTGTTTTAGCCATGTTTGGCTTTGATCTCCCCAGAAATTGTTTCAGGTTAATATATAAGCATATGTAACCATGTCTGTTTGGGTAGCCAGAATGAGAGGGTTAGGAATGAATATAGGTATAAATGAATGAAATGAAATAAAGCAAAGATACCTATAACGCAGCATGTTTCTTCTCTGTATTTATCAATCTGAGAAATGTGATGTGCAAGATAACTTAGCTCTGGTTTCATCTCCTATCAACAGAGAAGAAAATAATATTCAAAATTTAATTTGTTAATACAAAGCACAGTAAATGACTAGTAACGTTAGCTTATATACTTATTTACTTTCTCTTGACTTATTTCAATAAAGATAGTCACCTGAAAAGCTTCAACTGCTTGATTACTGTTTATAGACTTGCACATCTTATACCAGTTACAGTCTCACATCTTCTAAGCATACTCAAGCTGCAGTTCGTATCAGGGGAAGCTTTACTCGTTTGATATGAAAATTTTCCCTCCCACTCGTAATGATCTCAGCTTTCTAGGTTTATGGTGACTAGCTTTATTGAAATAAGTATTTATTATATAGATATTGATGAAATATCAGGATTTATCTGGAGTCTAAAAATATCTTGTACATTCTACTCAGTGAAGATATCATATCCGTCACATGTGGAGGTATCACCGTTACCATGACTAGAATCTTATCAACCAATCACATTTAGGCCTTCACAGTTTCTTTCAATCCTCAGATCAAAAATATCAGCTCCATTGCTGGCAAACGAGAATTTTGATGATAACTTTGACCTGTTACCTTATTTTTTTGAAATGCAAGAACAAGGACGGGGAAAGACTATGAACTGTCCTCACTTTGTGGTATTTTGTCGAGTTTTGAACGCCATTTTTCAATTACGGTAAATCAATTTTTAAAGATTTAAATTCTAAAATTCTGTTACATATTTTTCTTGTTTGTATTTAGCAAGGTTAATTCAAGACAGTGATTTTCAAGAAACTGTTGTATCATTGAACTGTTTGATCTGAGTCCAGCATACAAGCACATTGGGCAACCTATTTTTTTTTAGTTATTTTAGATAGCTTGTACCTTAGTTCTGAACAATTTTTTAAAAAAAACCTTTGATCAATGTAAACATTCAGGTACCAAAAATAAATCTATGTCTAATCTATATGTCTAGCGCATGCACCAAGAGTGTCTTGTTGCATTTTTTTGCAAAATTTAGAATAGAATTTGGAATAGAATCACTAGTTGTTCATAATAAAATAAAAATCATAGGATAAAAGCTGCAAATTCGGTGTAAAAAAGTCTACGTTCCATACGATCCAGCCAACCAAAGTCCAGTCCATTTCAGCTGTGTACAGTTCTGGATTTTCCAAAATTAAAAAGCACTTAAAATTTGGGCATTTAGAAGAGAAAAACAAGTTTTAGAAGTTGGGCATGTTTTTGCCATACATTAAGATTCTCCATGTCCTTTCAAAAGATGAAAATTCAAAACTTGTTTTTTCTGATTCAAGATCCAGTCACTGATCAATCCATTTCAGTCACAAACAATCCATTCCAGTCACATCCAAATAACATCCAATTACTCTTAATAGCATCTTAATTAAGGAAAATTAGTCGTAAAAATCTGTTATGATCCACAGAGTCACCTATAGACACACAATGTATACAATCCTTTGCAAAACCTTGGCCACTGACCAGCTCCACAGGACTTCAACAAGTGCCACGATACAAAATACAATGCATTTTTTTGCAAAAATTTGGAATAGAATCACTAGTTATTTATAACAAAATAAGAATCATAGGATAAAAGCTGCAAATTTGGCATAAAAAAACGTTTAGGTTCCATACAATCCAGCAAACTGAAGTCCAGTCCATTCTATCTATGCATTTATTTTTGCAAAATTTCGGAATAGAATCACTGGTTATTCATAATAAAATAAAAATCAGTGTTCGCAAGTTCTGAAAGAAAAATACACCTACAATGTTCCAAAGTACCTGCTGCTCCTAAATAGCGGTACATAATAAAGATTAGGTGTTAAATAAGGTCCAGCATACCAGCACATTGGGCAACCCAGTGCACGCTCCAAGACCGTCTCGTTATAAATTTGCTTTGAGATACAAATTCTATCCTCTCGTGTTGAACATCTCTCACTTGTTCACTGTGCTCACTCGTTCGCGCTCAACACCTAAAGATAAAATTCCTATCTCCGCGCATCCATGGAATATCCTCTATATATCAAATGATGCCCAGCAAGCTTAATGTAATATCATGTGTTACTTTATACCTTGACATAAAGTATATTAGAATAAGTGTCCATTTGCTCCAGGGAAAAGGGGTCCTTCTTCTGTAACTCAGTAAAGAGTTCAACTGCTTTGTCAAAGTCTGGTAAAAAAGATTATGATTTAATGTAAATATAGTACATAATACTTTAGATATCTAAATATGCTATATGATCTATTCTGAAAACCAAAAATTTATATAATTTAATAGTCATAAAAATTTATGGTCATATAATATGATCATAAATGTATATGACTGTTACTCCCCCACCCCTGCCAGCTAGAAGTTTAGTGTAAAGACATACATCAACACAGTTGAAACCACAGTCCTAGATAGTAATAGTAAGAATATGATTCCCAAATTCAGGGCTTAAAATAACGGCTGATCAGTTGCCATTCATGATTACAGGCCAAATTAGTTTTAGTTTAATCATATACCTGTCATTTTTGGCTCAACATTACTGGTCATAATGACTGGCAAGGCAAAGTTTTGACCGGACAAGTCCCAGTTTTGGCCGGACATTATCAGTTGTCCAGGCATTATTTCAAGCCCTGAAATTGGTGTTGGTGGTGTATCAGTGTCAATGAGTTGAAATAGTACATAAACTAGGCTGTCTGACACAGACAATGGTTGCAGAACAGGTCATAGTTACTAAGAAATAGTTTTAAAGAAAAATCAATCTCTAAAAAATATCATGGAGAGATTTACAAACTAAGATTAAGTAACGTTACTATAATAGAGACTGAAAATAATCTACCTCTTGAATGATAGTTTGCAAGTGCTGTCTGGAGCAGTACATAGTTGCTTTTTCCAAAGCAAGCAGCAGCAAGTTCATTGTACCTGTGCAGGCCTTCTTCAGTTGTCTGTATTTCTATGGCAACATGAGCCAAGAAAAACTCTTTCATCCAGTGAGCAGGCAATGTTAGACTGTGCAACTAGTATGAAAAAAATACCTGCCTTAAAAAAATGGGGTTGAACTGCAAGCATGTGAAGGTGCCTCTGGGTGCTTACTATACAGTCCACATATAAATGACCCTGGAGCACAGCTTTAACCAGTTTACTGTAAATTATAAGTTATGATTGTTTTGATATAAGAAGGGAAGAAAACATGGGAAAACTCTCATAATCAGAAGAAAACCTGGTAAAAACTCTCAGACAGAGAACCAAACAACGCAACTCACACTGTGGCAATTGGGAATCAAATCCCCCACCCCAGGGGTGAGAGATTTCATTACCATGTTATCCTGACTCACATTTGATTACGTATTTGAAAATTGCTGGTTGACACTGTCTAGGACATAAAGTTAAGCATAATTTAAATAAATACGAACCATGTCTTTATCTGTGCATAGGGAAGCAAGCTCTAACCAGCTTCCCCAGTGTAATGGCTCTTTTGCTACTGCTTCAAGTAACACAGCTAATGCTTCAGTTTTTAGGTTAAGCTTCTTCAGTACTAAACCATACCTTAATAAAAAGACAAGCCATAAATGATATCAATCATAGTAAGTAGATGGTGACTGACTGACTGACTGTGACTGACTGACTGACTGACTGTGACTGACTGACTGACTGACTGACTGACTGACTGACTGACTGACTGAGGATTGGACAGACTGGTTGAGGATGGACTGAATGACTGAGGATGGACTGACTGACTGACTGACTGAATGACTGAGGATGGACTGACCGACTGACTGACTGACTGAGGATGGACTGACTGACCAACTGACTGACTGACTGACTGAGTGACTGAGGATGGACTGACTTACTAACTGACTGACTGACTGACTGAGGATGGACTGACTTACTAACTGACTGACTGACTGACTGAGGATGGACTTACTGACTGACTGACTGACTGACCGACTGACTGACTGAGGATGGACTGACTTACTGACTGACTGATTGACTGACTGACTGAATGTAAAACTGATTGACTGACAGATGGACTGTAACTGACAGACTGTGACTAACAGATAGACAGATGGACAGACAGTCAGAATCTTAATTTCAAAGGAGTGGGGTGCATGAAAAACATTTGTATGAGGAAAAAATGATAGAATTATGAATTCATAAGTCATAAAATTATTATTTTTTATATCAACTTACAGGTAAAGACAAAATCCATCAAGATGCTTATGGTTTTCAGATAGATTTTCTCTTAGGGTAGTCAATACTTTATTCTGGACTATTTCTTGTGGACCTAAATTTTAATATAAATTGAAAGAACGTTGGTCTTTGGGTCCAAAAGGAGATGTACAAGAATGTATGAGAAATCTTAGTACTAAAGTTTGACGTTATGTGTGAGTCAAGGGTGATGTAGTGGTAGTCCTCCCTATCTCACGTAATAAATTATAGTCTGTTAGGTCTCTTTATCTCGATTCAAGGGTTTTTACCTGGTTCTACAGTTTTCCTCTCTCTGCAAAGCCTTAAAGCTTGGTAAATTCAGATTCAATCTGTGAGTTAGCTGTTACTTTGATCAGACCAGAGGTCGTTTCAGGATATCAATAAAATTTAAGTTAAAGTTAAAGGTTGAAGTTGGCTATGTTGTATGTAAAGGCTATGCTTGATAACGTAACTATTTTTTTACCTTCAAAGTTGTCCATCAAACCTTACCTAGAATATCAACATGATCATCATTCTTGTGTTTTTCTCCTGCCTGAAATAATTAAGAACATCAGATGACTTGCTGAATTCAATGAAATATATATAGAGAAGTCTCTATTGGAGTAGACTGGAAGACTTATGGTATGGTTTCCTTATGTATCTGGGAGACCTGGTTAGTACGTCGTAACTACAAATTAGAACTAACAAACACCTCTGCTCCCATTTGACTATAAGGAACTGGCCATTATTTAGAGAAATGGGTGGGGCTGGTGCAAATAGGGGTAGGTCACCAAGGAGATAAAAAAACTGGTGCATATGAATGCTGTAGACTTGTACAATTCAGATGGGAAGTGGGGAGGGGAGGGAAGTGCATATCACAAAAAGGAGAATCTGGAAAAGGGAAACATGTGACATGCCTAGTTTGGCACCAGCCCCCACCCCTCTAAACAAGGAACGGTCCCTCACTTCTATTGTCTTCCAAGGTTTACTTAGCCAACTAAGGCCCTTTTAACATGCGAGGAGGATAATCCAAGAACTATTCAGTTTATGGTGAGTGAGGTATAAACTTTAACCCTGGTGCTAGGATCTTATATCTGCAAGACAGGAAGGTCCTGCTGCTAGGGAATATTCTAGTACCCTGCAAGAAAGATCCTAGTTCTAGGATTAACCTCCTCCCATGCAAATGATATAAGTCCACTATGTAAATACACTCTGATAGAAGCTATAATTACATACCAGGAAACTTGAATAAAAACGCAGAAAGAGGGCCTTATGACTTTTACACTCCGCCAGAAAGAAAGCTGCTCTTTCAAACTCTTTGCTATCAAACAAAGCTTTGCCCAGACAAAAAACATCGTATTCTTTGGTAAACTGCGTATCGTAGTGGTTGTGTTTTGGCAAAAGTTCAATGGTAGTTGGTGTAGGAATAGAACAAGCGAGCTCTGCAGACCTGATAACAAGAAAAAACAGCCCAAAAAAGAGCGATATATTTGTGTACTCCTTATCCAAATGCAATGCAATGCTATTTTCAAAAAATAGTGAAGGAAACTGAGTGCTTATGCTTCCGTTTGCAGGAGATGAGGGACATTTCGAACCACTTATTATATTAAGCTAAAGTTCTTTCCAGAGCAAAACCTCGAAGCTATATCAAAACTGTTATAAGCTAACCATTTTGAAGAGTGAACCAGTCCCCTATCAGAACATTCCTTTGCTGCATAAAGCAGATCTCTCTTCACTTCAGCCATCGAAAAGCTCAACACGGTAGCCATGTTGGGTTTCAAAAATGGCGCGACTGTCTACACAGGGAACACAATTTCAATCCACAGGGAGCCCACTTTAGATAAAAGTTTAGTGCCACCAAACTGGGATTCCGCGGAAAGCCCCTTCCCGACCCCCTGAAAAATTTGAAAATGGGGCTAAAAAAATCTTAAAAAGTGGTATTGGCCATTTGGACACTTGGGTGCTGATAGTTGCGCTATAGATTGCGTATCGAATTTACTAACTACTAGAGAAAAATAAACTACATAAGAAGCGCAACTAGGAAGTGCATGGGAGCGTCCATGGGAGCGTCCATGGGAGCAACGATTGAAGTATCCTTTTTATTTTGAAATTTGTATTTTTGATCAGAGTTTACACATTAAGAATATGTACGATCAGACATTAACATGGGGGAAAGGGTCGCAAAGCATGAAAATATAAATCATATTCAAAAGAATTATGAGTTATGCCATGTTGTGGGAGATATTCGCACTGCGTAAAGCTACCATAATAAAAAAGGACGCATTAAAACGAACTTGATAAGTAATAATTGCAAAGTTTATCATATGGTGAGAAAATTCTTAATTCAGCGTTTCTTTCTTTGATTCGCTACAACCTTATCCCATTCCCAAGAAGGAACACAGTAATCGCAAACAAATTCACAGCAGCAGTTTATACTTTTTCTTAAATTTGAAAAACCAGTAGCATATTTTCCTCTGTTCTTCTTCTTTCTTCCTGGTGGAATATGGGGAGGCGTTTCTTTTACATCAGTGATTATTTCAAGCGCACTGGACTCTGGAATATCCTGCAGGTGACGATTTGTCGGCTTTTCCTTGGCAGCAGTCTGTTCTGTAAAACTTTCGTCGTCCATGGCTTCTGCGATAGCTCGTTCAAATTCTTCTGGCATGACGGTCTCGTAATCAACTTCACCTGTGTCTGAAAGCGCATCTGATCCAGTAGTTTCTTGGTTGTTATTTTCTTCAAAGACTATTCTCCTTCTTGCTTTGAGGATGCGTCTCACGTAAGGGCTACTCTGCCGCATACTGTCTTGGTTTGAGTCTTTTTCGCTGTTAGAGGACTTCACTTTCTGAACAGGAACATTAGTTTGGTTTGTCACCGGGCTTGCTTTTTTGCCTGGAGGTAAAGAGGCTGCAATGTGAGGTACTTTAGATGGGTTAATACTTCTGTCTTTGTGAACTGCATTATTAACTGCCATCTTCGAGGTTGGACTTGTTTGTTCTTTCTTTGTTAAGCCTGTAGCGGATTCACTTCCGCCAGCACAATTTTCTTGTTTATTACGAATGCCATCGTCTTTCTTTGCTGCCTCTTGTTGGTGAGGACTTGGAGCAGGAGATGTCTTAATCGATACAACGACTTGCGCAACGGGATCTTTATTACGTTCTTGCAATTTACCAGGACCAGGGGAATTCTTCTTCTTTTCTTCGGAGATGGTACTTTTCGTGTCCACACCCTGGGTAGGCCTTTTTAGAATGGCGTCTTTCCTTTGTTCCTTCTGAGGCATCGGTTGCTGTTGCAGATTCGTTTGATCTTTGCTCTGAACTTTAGCACCAGACGCAACCAATGCTGATTTTGAAGGAGAGACACCCACAGTTTTGGTCGAAATGGTAGTCTTGACTGGAAGGTTTTTTTGAGTTGAAGATGCGATTAYTTTTTGATGTTGTACTGGAACGTTTATTCGCTTATCTGCATCACTTTTAGAGGAAACTTTCAGCTTAGAATTCGAGCCATTATTAACTGTTAGGTGATTTGCGTTTCCTGGTGCATTCACACTGGGCGTTTGCGTCATGTTTTGCTGAGGTGTCGTCGGCAAAGGACTCGGCCCTTTTGATGACGTAGCTCTTTTTTCCAAATCRCTTTTTTGTTTATCCACATGAGCTCCATTTTGTAACACCACAGGGACGGCTTTTTCATTTGCTGCCACAGGTTGAGTTTCATTTCTCTTGGCTATTTCTCTTTGGGGACTCCCTCTAGTGCCCGTCTGGTTTAAATGAGCTGCAAATTTACCATTTGCACTCTCATTTTTGTTGGGCTGGGGTGTCTTTAGACCAGGCGAGGCTTCTTTCTTAGGCACGTTTTCGTGTGCAACATTGTTGTCCATTGTTGCATTCTTTACTTGTTTAGGTCCGGTTCCCTGCGTCACCAACCCAGTTTGACGGCATCTTTCAGTCTCCTTGGTCTCTTGACCCCTGAGCATAGTTGTTTTAGTGCACAGGACTGCTGGAGATTCTGGGGTGACTAGTATTTGTTCAAGGCCCCTTCTGTTTCTTGCCTTTCCATGGACGGCGTCATTCTGAAACTGTAAAAAGACCAAATCTTTTTCATCACTTTAAAAAAATTGAAGAAAAAAAAAACCATTTCGATTTGATGGGGATGCTAACACATCTGCGATTTGGTACCATTTAGAGCTGTTAAGTCTGACGTAATTTGAACAAAAAGGGACTTCTGGGTTCAAATTAATGATTTCTTCTACAGACATCTTTCTGTTTTTCCCCCCCTTCATAGCAGGATTTTCTGTTCATATATCTAATTGTTGAAGGTAGAGAATAAATCCTGGGAATAAGTTGTGGCAAGTTTCTAGCGATCTTGTTGTGTGATTGGACCCGGAAATACCTTACRACTTAAAACTCATGTACCTTCAGGGGTCATGTTCAAAATTTCCAACGAGCATTCCTGCCACTTGTACCCCCCCCCTCCCCCCTCGGGAAAATAGTATTCATGCACATTTTGCGGGATCTGATAGTCTTTAATATACGTTCACTGCATTTGCACGCCAATGTTGCGCACTATGCTAACGTGACTCGAGAGCACATATGGCCTACTGATTGGTATGTTGAGAATCTTAAAACTTGTATTACCTCAAGAAAAGCACGTTGTACTGGTTGAGACAAACAAGGTGTAGACACGTCACGTGATGTTCCGGCTCTAGCTTCTATATCGATGTTATCACAGCTCGCATTGGATACGCCATCGTAATCACTGTCTTTTGCCTTTTCCTTTTTCGTAGAGAACAGAAAATTTCCAACCTTTTTCTTTACGCGTCGTAAAAATTTCATTGGTGATGCGAATGCTTGGAAGGCGAGAGATTCGTTGCTGTCGTCACTGGAAAGCTGTTGGTGAGAAGACTCACTTCTTTGATCTTCATCGATAGGGGAGCTCCGCAAGGGAGCATTACCATCAACAATTCCATCGCCAATTTCTTTTCCAAAATTCACTACTCCAGGATAAGAAGCTCCTAAGCACTTCTCCGAAGAATTGTTCACTTTGGCAGGGAAGTTTTGTTTTGATGTTGGAAGAGGTTTCTCAATTCTTTTGGGATTGCTAGAACCCGACAAGTTATCGTTCTGCCCATTCTCCTTCTTGGTATCTTCTTTATCGTTTGATGTACATTCCTTCTTATTCTCGCCTTTAGCTGATATAGTCGTGACTTTGGCATCCTTTGTAGTGACAGTCGTTCCAACATGATGAATTCCCGTGGCTTCTTCATTCTTCTTAGCTACATTTTCCAGAGCCTTGAGTGTTTTTAGAACTTGCTTCAGTTCATCATATCGAGAATAAATGTTAAGCAATCTACCTTCTTGGTCACCCTGTGTTGGTTGAGGCGCAGATTTCCCGCTCCACTTTTTCCTTTCTTTAAGGGTTTGTATCACCATTTCAATTTTTCTAGCACGCTCTTCGCAACTTTTTTCGTTTTGGCCAGATGAGACCATTCTCAGATCGAAAACTTTATGAGTTTTGTTTTCTTCTTGCAGGCATTTAACTAGAAGCTTCTCCATTTCATCCATTTGATGGCGAGCCCTTTGCTTTAGCTCCAGTAAATGTTGACTTTTCTGGGTTTCGTTTTGCAGATCCAAATTTCCTTTTTTCAAAGGTACCGGTTTACTCTTCTCTCCTTGTTTCTTCGCTTTGTCCTTGTCCAATTGAGTTGGTTGTCCTGAATTGATCTGCTGTTTATCTTTTTGTTGTTGCAATTCAGCGTGTTTTGCATTCTGTGTCGGTCCTGCGTCCCCTTGTCTTCCATCTTGTACTTAAAAAAGAACAAACAATAATATTCTGTATTCATTCTCAATAATGGATATCTTCACCCGGGGAGAAATACTTTCCCATTTTAGACCACGTGTCATTCCCTAGAGTATCATTTCTTTGTTGAACAGTTGCGTATGAGAAGACATATGAATATGAATATAACTCAAACAAAAATTATTATTCTCAAGTGAATGACACGTGGTCTAAAACAGGAAAACATTGCCCCAATGTAAAGAGATGTATTATATAACCAATACTTGGTAGGTGTAAAAGAATATGCAGAAATAATCTGGAATAAGGGACTGCATGGTCATTATATTAAACATTGTATGGCTTATCTGAAAACCAACTAAGTTGAAAGATACTAAAATAACCAGCTTAACTAAAGTTGAACTTCAGTTATTGTAATGATATTTGGAGGCCAAGAAATTGATAATAAGTGTAGTAAATAGCTATTAATCAGTTATACCTTCAGTCTTTGTATTTTGTTCGTTTCTTCCTGCAGCATTGGGATCCTGGTTTTTCTTTTTATTCGACCTATTCCTTCGTTTGTTTCTAGTCGGAGATTTTCCATGTTTATCCATGCTTCTAATAACTCATCTAGAATAAATAAAAGGTCAGGTCAGGTCAGGTTTTCAAACTTGCTACTGGTACCATGTAACCCAGTACTATAACTGCCACATGGACGGGTCGTCTGCGTCTAAACCGGCTCCCCCACTGGCTATCCAGTGAGGAGGGTGGCCTGACACCCAGCAGGATTAAAAATAAGACCTGTCAAAGGGTGGAGGAGCTCGTAGGAGCCAACAGCCATCAAGCAAGCGTCTTCTCGGATATTGACGTAAAACCGGAGGTCCCGTCTGCTTGCACTTGAGCCCCGATAAAGTGGACGTAAAAGATCCTGTTGTATTTTTCGTAAGAGTAGGGAATTGTTAAAAAAACGTATGTTTTAAAAATGAACGGGCTTTACAAACTCTTCTAGGTCTTTGTTGTCTCTCGATCGAGAACAATGAGAACAGGAGGCGCGTCAGGGAAACACAGATCACGAGGGAGGGGCCTGCTATAGTACTCACTCTTTCAGTGCTAATATCATTAGTTGGTTTTGAAGTATAAAAGTCTGCTATTCTCGACTTTCGCATCCCCATAATCCTTTGCGTCTTTGGGGGGTAACCAGAGGGTAAAAACCCACTTATTTTGCTGAAGGCTGATCAGACAATGTTGAAAATACCTTGTTTGGTATCCAAAGATAAAATGAAGAAGTAAAAAACAGAAAAAGATAAAAGCTTTAAACGGACGTTTAAGATAAATTTTAAACATTTTTTCGTAAGTCAATACATTTTCTGTAAGACCAAAACTCTTCATGATCTGTACACGCAAAAATAACTTGGAATAAACTGATAATCAGTATTGTACAGATAAAAGCAGGTATAGTATAAATTCAATTAAGAAACCTTTCAGTTTGGGACCGTTTTTTGATTGGTTATCCCCCAAAGACGCAAGGCATTATGGGGATGTGAAAGTCGAGAATTAAATAATATTGATCAAACCATGGGGTATAGTCCACACTGTTTGGCCAAAAAAGGGTTCAAATAACCCTTCAAAATGTCGAGACAATTTTAAGGAAGCTCAAAAAACCCCAAAATTCATCAAAACCATGGGCTCGCTATAGTCCATGTTTTTTGGCCAAAATAGGCCAAAAATAACCCTTTTTCAAAAAGATATAATTTTCAAGGAAAGTCAAAAAACACCCAAAATATAATGTTATATTCTCGGTTGGCTACCTATGTCCCATATAACGTTCTACAGAGTAAAATCGATCGCAAACTGAGGGATGTAGGTAATTACCTCAATTACACTCTTTTTTTTTATCCTATCACTTACTCCTTTTTTCCCTGTATGCTAGTTAGGAGAACGAATATGATTGTTTATACTATATTATGTCTATATCAGACAAATATAATTTTGAGCTATATAATAAACTGTAGCTACTGACATACTGTCCTTATTTTGAATAACAGGTATTCGCAACCGACCCAATGGAGGTGGGTTTTCTATTGCAGATATTACCAACCTGAGAAGTTATAGAGTAGAACTCATTGCTAATCAAGGACATTATACTTTGTAAAACTTATGGTATCCTGGCTCCACATGAAGTACATTCTTCAGACTTCAAAGACCATACTTGTACTGGAAAGCACGGAAAAAGAGATCGATAAAGGTTAAACAAACTGATTTGCGATAAACTTTCGTATAAAAAACAAACAAACAAACAAAAAAAAAACAACAGTAAAGCCAGGAAAAAAACCAAAAACAATGAAATGTATATTGCCATTCAACAAAGGGCGGTCGACAACGAGCTCTCATGGTTTGTTCAGACAAACTATATACGTTAACTATATAGATTAAATAAGAAAATGATCTGACCCCAAAGAATTCAAAATAAAAGCAAACTAAAGACAGATAATGTGAATACAATCTAAACTTGAACCTTCCGAGATGGAATAAGCTTCAAAATTTCATCTTAATTTATACGATCAAAACTTGAGTAAGAATTGATTAAAACTGTTAAACTTGGTGTAAGAAATCTTACCTTCAAAGACCATTGAATAATGAAGATGTTTGTTCTTTGGTTTTTAATATTTTCTCTGCTTTTCTAACGTCACTTTTTTGTTTTGTGACGAAGTTGTTTTATTACGCGAATACTGCGCGTGCTTGCAACCAACGGTCAAGTAAGCTCATTCTTCAAAAATAACTGCACTTATTACTTTTTTTCAATAACAAGACCCTATTGGAAAGGTAAATGACCTATCCTTTATGTTTAGTTTTCTAACTACTGAATTCCTGTTGAAAAAAACTGCTGAAATCTTGTCTTCCATTTTGCCCATCGCATCCCACTCTGCCCTTTTTTGTGGGCTTCCTGTGGATTAAATGTTCCACAGGAAACCCACGTCACCTATCGAATCGAATAAATAGGTTTTCGCGCCAAAACATTAGAACAAAGAAAGATGGATACAATTTCTTCGTCTTTCTACGATTCTCCCGTTGGGACTTATGAAGTATCAGCTGATAAAGATGGCATACTAAGTATTAAGCTAATCAGCAAAGAGAAAATCGAAGAGCATGAAAAAACAATGCCTTCCTCAGCGAGAAAGCACATTCAAGATTGCTTGAAATGGATGGATGTCTATTTCACTGATTTGAGTAAAATTGACAAGATCAAATCACCAGTGCTTAACACAGCAAGATTCAGACACAAGAAATTTTGTTGTCATGTCTGGAAAATGTTACTAGAAGAGCTGCATCCTGGACAAACCATGAGCTACGGCGAGGTGGCAAAACTGGCTGGGAACCCCAAAGCTGCTAGAGCAGTAGGAATGGCCATGAAGTCCAATCCATTTTCAATCATCATGCCATGTCACAGGGTACTTAGCAGGGATGGTATTGGCAATTACAGCTCGTTGAATGGAGTGACAACTAAAAGATGGTTGCTGGAACATGAAAATGTTAACATGGAGAAACTTCATTAACTGCATTCATCATTTGTGATAATTAGGGCAGTTGAAGAAGATTGATCTTTATGGCATTTTAAAGCAGTTATATAGTTCCCAGTGTAAGCAATCAATCGAAAATAGTTAGAAAATTGTTATCAATTGTTTTGGGAAGTCAATAATCAACAGTAATCATGAAAATATAACCAATGGGTTACCTAGATTCATGTTTAATGCACTTGCCATCGGCTTTCATGAGGGAGGGGTGGGGGGGTGGGGACCCCGGGCAAATGTGGGGACTTTGCTTTGAGCCTAAAGGAAAGCTATCTGTATGTCCCCAGATATGGAGCAAGGTTTCTTAGAAAATACCCCTATATTCCACCAGTCCCTGGGACAAAATTGTTATGGAGCTGAAATAACAGATCACAAAAGTAACGCAAAACAGCTGTAGAGTGCACACACTAAATCCATGGAAAACAAACTGAAAGACAAGATCTTAGTAACATGTATAGCAAATAGAGCATTTGATAAATTAATATCAGAAATGTTAAGTTTTGTTCTTTTATGTTTCTTTTATTTTGCAACAAAAATAATAGATGTTATGATTTGTTTATAGATTAAAAGGATTCAACAAAATGCACACCTTTCTGACCTACAGTGTCCACCATTTTGTGCATGACTAGTTTCCAGTTTACGAGCGATGTAGGTTAACAGAGCAACCCCAATGCCAGAAAAATAAAAGTCAAAATAAAACTCAAACAAAAAACGATGTTTAAACCTCCTTTTGCTTTTTTWGACATTTAGAGTCCAATACCTTATTGAAAACAGCTCTTTACAAAGAACTCTAATGCTTCCAGGGGGTTTCAGAACATTTTATCTATCTACCGCTATTCCCCCAGGTACTGGGACAAGGATTTATGGCTAAGTCCCCACATCTACCTGAGTCTAGCCCAGGGTCCCCCCCCCCCCCCCCCCCCCCCCCCCCCCACGACAAGTGCATTACATTGACTGGTAATCAATGTCCATCCATTGACAATATTATTGATGGATGTCAATTACAACCAAATAACCTGGCTTCAGATATTGAATTAAACTAATTATTGAATATTCAATCAAACTTCAATAATTTGATATTGGAAGTAATCAATAATCAGAAATTTTTGCATTCTTGATTTGTCATTGATAAAGATGGATAAATTGTTATCGATCGTTATCAGTTTTGATCACTCATTGATTACTTATGCTGTACTGAAAGTAAGTTTTTTCATCTTTTCACGGTGTATAATTTACCTTTTCATCATTACTGTTTCACTGACGCAGCTCACACTAGTTTTTAGCTAGTTATATCTTTCTGTACTGAAATAGTTATGTCGGGGTTACCCATTCTAGGTAAGAAATGCTCTCATCGGTGGTGGACCCAGAATGATTTCAAGGGGCACTGATACCAAGAAAAGCATCATGTTATCCCTATTAGGTTTTGCCTTATCCTTCCTATATATCATATAGTATATATTGTATATATTACAAAGGAGAGGTGGCTAGCCACCCAATGCATCCCCCTTTGCTAATAATAAGGTCTTTAAATTGAATATTAGTAATAGAGCCTTTGCAGATCGGTTTGGAAAACAGAATAATGGAATTATACTTATATGAAAATGCCCTGCCCAGGATAATATTATATAATCATCAAAATATAATTTTAGTGTGAATCCACCAAGGCCATCTGAGTTGAGTGACAATTTTGTCAAAACATTTTAATAAAATATACGATTCACCCCCTTCAGTATGGGTAATATTAGCCTACTAAGGGATTATCCAGCCACAGGCATGCAAATACTGTAGTCTTTATAGTACTATTAGGGTTAAATAAATACAGACTTGATGCAACTGCTGGAGACAAGATTCCTCATCCTATCCAGACAGAAGTGCTCTAAGGCTGGAAACACGCCTAAGGGAAAAAATTATGATGATAAAATGCTTTTTAAAAATGAGCTCAAGGGAATAACTCATGGTTTAAGTTAGACATACTTTGTACTTAATATTTCGTATGTAGTCCTTAAAGCATGGAAAACCAAAATGCTGATGAGGTGTTATTGATTGTCCTATCAATATACTTAAAGATCATTCTCTGTCATTTGTGAGCATTAAAGTTCATAGTACTCTTCCCAGAGTAATTTTGATGTCTATCAAACTCTAGGAAATGTCTCCTATCAGCACTGATAGAGCTTTGATAGTCTGTTAATCTTTTAAAGCTGTTGGCTCTCTATCAGACGGCAGGTCTCCTTTCTAGGAAGAGGTAAACCCAAAAGCTGCAGGTCCTGGTTGGTCAGTCTCAACATTTCCAGGTGGCTTAGTTGAGTAGATTCTTTCACCATTAGGTTTTAGTGCAAAGTTATAGTTTGTCTCATTGTCTAATGCATAATTGATCTTTTCTTCTAGATTTTCTGGAGTAATAAAATCTTTGCTTTCTTCCTACAACATAAGAAAGAAAAGGAAGGAAAAAAGTTTCATTTTGATGGTTTCATTTTTGAAGACGTTGAAAAATGTTGTCACACCAAGTATGTTTTTAGCCAAGACCACCTGTGTTTTAATTTTAAATGATGAGTGTTGATTAAAAAAATATCCTAAATCTTTCATGACATTAGGGAATCACATTGCTCCCATATCCATAGATTGATCTCA